TTGAAATAGGTTGCAAACTATTTGCCCCACTGTCTTCAAACCATAATCCTCCTAATCTGTGCCTTCTGAGTAGCTAAGATTACAGGCATGCATCACCAGCACCCAGCAGCATAGTCTTCGAGAGCACACAAGGGAGGTATGAGGATAGGTAAGACACCCAAAAAGCTAGATAGCACTTATTGCCCTCAATGCAGAGAAACTAATGCAGATACTTTAGAATGACAGAGGCCAATAGGAGAAGGGGACCAGGAACTAGGGAAAAGATTAGTTCAAGAAGAATTAATTTAGAAGGTAACACACATGTACAGGAAAACAATGCGAGTCAACTCCCTGTATAGCTTTCCTTATCTCATCTAGTAAAAACCCTTGGTCCTTCCTATTGTTGCTTATACTCTCTCTTCAACAAAATTAGAGATAAGGGCAAAGTAGTTTCTGCCTGGTAGTGGGGGAGAGGGAGGGAGCGGGGTAGGTAAGGGAGGGGGCGGGGGGAAGAGGGGAGAAATGACCCAAACATTGTATGCACATATGAATAAAAGAAAATGCAAGGTTATATCTAATAGGAAAACCTAGGTAGTTCTGAAAGGTCAGGGCAGGTAAGGAAAATATATTGTGACAAATGCTTTAATGGACATTATAGCATCACAAATGCTTTAACGGCCTCTGGGGAGTTGGGGAAGTTTTCTCATTGGAGGGAACTTTTTTTTTTGGTAGACTGGGGTTTTGAAATCCAGGCTTCACCCTTGCAAAGCAGGCACTCTACTGCTTGAGCCACATCGCTAGTCCAGTTTGTTCTGGTTATTTTGAAGATAGGGTCTTGTAAACTATTTTCCCAAGCTGGCCTCGAATCTCCATCCTCCTGATTTCAGCCTCCCAAGTAGCTAGGATTTACAGGTGTAAGCCACCAGTGCTTGGCGTGGATGAAATTCTTAAGCTGACTCTGGTGGCAAAGATGTAGACAAATGGCAGCAGGTCAGGAAGAGCATTACTGGCAGAGGGGATAGCTTGCGCAATGTCAAGCCAAAGCATGAGACAGTCCCTGAGTTGCAGTAGTTCTGTATCACTGGGACAGAACTGCAGTTCTAAAGGTTTTTCTCTACATAAAGGATAAAGGAGTTAGGTCTTAATCCTGGAGGCAGTGGATGTCATTTAAGTATTTTAAGCAGAGGAGGAGTTATGATCACATTTTTATTTTTAAAGATATTTCAGTTATCTGTGTAGAAAGTAAGACTGATAGAGATGAAATTTAGAGACAGTAAACCTATCAGCAAACTATAATAGTTGTTCAGGAAAGAAATAATGAGAAGCTGAGCCAAGATAGTGGTGGTGGAAATGGAGAGGAAGGATCTGATAGAAGAGGTGGGAGACCAGATTGACATGCCTAGCACACCCCTCAATGCAAGGGTGAGAGAGGAGAAGCGTCTGCATGGGGTGTGTGTGCTGATGCCACTCGGGTTATAGGGAGAGAGGAGTCTGGTTGTCAACTTGGATTTCCCTGGGCATTGGAATATCCTGTTTGTAGTAAATATCAAACATTAGCATCCTTTCAAAAGACTTAAACATTCCCTGTAACCATTTTTCTTCAGGCATGGGGCTTCATTCACCTGTGACAGAGAGCATTGAGGTGGCTCAGCAGGATTTCCTAGATAAGTGATGAGGTATAGAATTCCAGTCCCCTCTCCTGTCTTCTGCTTTAGTACACTGATGAAAGTTTGCTGATCTTGATTGAGTAATTGATTGATTATAGGAATTTGATATTTTTATGAGCTATAAGGAACAACTTTCATAAATGGTTGAGTTGGGCACCATAGGGACACTATTACAGTATGTATAATAACATAAAGCTTTTGACTAGAGAGGAAAAGAATTTCCTCAGAAGAGAATGTCTTACAGATAGTTCTTATTTTCTACAATTGGTTTTTAGTGCCCTCTGTTGGCTATTTAGTCTAAAGCAGTGTCTTCATTCTGGAACACAGTGTGCCTTGCAGTGTTCTTCACCAAAAGGAGAAAAATGAGAGATTTAAAAATTATGATAACAGGTTATAAAATCTGATGGGGACATTTGTAGGTCCTCAGGGTCGAGTAGGGGGTTTTGATAATATCTTTTTAATATTTTGGTTGATATAACACGCCTATGACATGGTGGACTACATTTCCAGAAACTAGACATTTCTGATGAGAAGCAGCCTGAAGATCGGTGTTTGAGCATTTTTCATTCAGAAAAGCCTCAAGAATAGCAGCTGCCCCAGTAGGCAGCAGCAGCTGCTGTTTGAAGGGTGGCTGCTACATGGGATGTCCATGAAAGGAAATGACTGTTGCTCATTAAAGGACTTCATTCAGCCATGTGGGAAATCACACAGTCAGGAAAGTCATCCTAGCAAAGGCAGTAACAATTATACATAATGGGACATCTTCAGAGGTGGCTGGTTTGTCTTTCTTTCTTTTTTTTTTTTGTCTTTTCCTCCAACCAACAGAGAAGCTATCTTCGGGTTTTCTTCTCCAGGAAAAGAGGTAGTAGATTACAGTAACTACAGGTCTAGACCTGAATAAGTTTTAGTAATCAAGTACACCTGGCAGTAATTAGCGAGCTAAAAAATACCATGCTTTGTGTACATAAGTGCTACCATGACTTTTGTACAATAAATGAAATCTATTAATCTCCCCAGAGTAGAATTCTATTTCCATTATTTTTGGTGAATCTTCCTAGTTACAGAACTGTATTCTTCCTAATAAGCATTTCAGTCAGCTGCATTCTTAAAAACTTACTCATTTACATACTGGGTTTAAAAAAATCATATGTTTTGATTCAGTGTTTTATGAAACTAGTGGTTGTTCACAGCTAACTTAGTGAAATCATTTATTTGCTTTTGGTATATTTTTATTGTTACAATTTTCTCTAAGAAAGTTTAGCAGTTATTGATCCAAAGTAATACTAGCTGCTTTCTGTGTGTTTCCTGAGAGGAATAAGCTATTATGTACTTTCCCTTCCTCCTCAATAAAAAAGCCTTTCATCAAAAACTGACATCCTAAATGAAGGACATAATTGTACAGCTTATTTATTAGTGTGTCAAACTTAAAATGTAATGGTTTCATATTTCAGAATGAAAAGTGTGCTGTGATTCATGGTTGCTAGTGACAAAATAGACAGCTCTTTTATATTACCGTGCTGATCGCCTCCTGATATACCACTGCACTTTTTGCTTCCCTTCTCTTCTCTCCTTATGCAATAGCTCCCTCTACTTGAAAACATTGTTGTAATTATATTTTAACGCTGCATACTTTATTAGTGAATTCCCTTCACTGTTTTTTACTTTTTATTTTCTTCATAAATATGTGGTGTTAAATATTAGAGCTTGTAACAAAATTACCAGGGATCTCTTGACTAAGGGAGCAGAAAGGCAAGGTTAGTTGAGGAAAATAAGATAAATTGTTTTTGAAGGCATTTTTCAAGGAATTGGCTGTGTAGCTTTTGTCTTAAATATGGTATATTTGCTTCAAATTCTGCGTACTACTTTGAAGATGACCATGACGTCTGAAACATAGAAAACTGGGTCAAAAAACTTCAAAAGATCCATCAACCACTTCAAACAGAGCCTGGAACTTGGCAAATCCTCACCTTGTGAACTGCAAAATCTCATATTCTAACACAGAGCCTGGCAGATTCTGTCTGGGCTATCAGGAAGGTTTTAGTGGAAGCCAGCAGCAGTGGAATTTCATGCTGTTGTCTCTTGCTTTTGTTGAATGGTTACTGCATAACGAAAGGATGGGAACCACACAGGCAAACCAAAGCACGTGATGCTGTGCTTGGGTTGAGCATCTCTCCTCTCCCCTTGTTTGATCTTAGCAGTAAGTGTCACATACCTCAACCATTAGGAGAAGTTGAATCTCAGCCTAAGAGTTCCATGTGAATATGTCTGTCTTCTTCATTCACAGCTCTTTGTCCCCAGTTTCTCCTGACCAATATTATTGTGCGGAGCTTGGCCATCAAGAGTAAGGACTTAGTGAGCCAGACTGCCTGGATGAATCCTGGCTCTGCTACTTACCAGCTGGCTGACTTCAGCTAGCTTCCTTAACTTCCTCATCTATAAAATTAATACATTAAATCTACTTATATCCTACAACTGTTGTAAGGATTAGGTGAATTAGATGATTGTCAAGCCTGACATGTATTAAGCACTATTTACCAGTTTGCTTAATAAAATAAAAAATTAGAGTGGAGTTAAGAATTGTTTTTTATTAACCAAATGTATTGACATGTCAATAAGAAACACAGAGCTCTCCCACTTGAGAGAGATTTACACATTGGTTTTGTTCATGAGTTTCCTTTCTATTGGAATAGTTCTGACCTAGGGCACCTAGCTATGTCTAAATTTTGATTATGTTATCTTCAAACGTGTGTGTGTGTGTGTGTGTGTGTGTGTGTGACTGGCAATTGAATACAAGGCCTTACTTACACTTGTACTCAGGTGCTCTACCACTGAACTAAATCTCCAGCCCTAACTACACTTTCCTAATGCAGTAAAATATTCTGTTTTTTATGTCTTTCCTGAACTTAAGTGGTTTTATGAGAGGATTCTGTACTGGCACATGCTTTAAAGTGTGGTATCATTTTCCATAATGTGCTCCTCTTAGAGCCTACTTAGGCTAGAGTCTTTGTAGACGGACTTGTCTTTGGTCCACAATATGACAGTGCTTGAGAATGTCAGAGAATCTTGCCTTTGGTCCAACAAGATGCCAGTCACCAAAAGTTTAAAAGACAAGTTTATATATGTTGAACATTCAGACATGTAATCGAAACTGTTAAGGCTATACCTTCACCTTGATACAAGCTATCAGAGTGATATTTTTGTTTACTTTGACCTCATTAGAAGAATAATGCCAGAAAGCTGAGCATATGAAGTAAAATAGTAAGATCAGATTCATGAAGGTAAGCACAAATTTTCTAAAGCCTACATATTTGTTTTCAGGGTACTGACTCATTGTTCTCTTTGCATTATTCATAGGATCCTTTAGATCCCACAAGATCAGTGATTGTGATCCGCTCCCTGGTAGCAGATGGTGTTGCAGAAAGAAGTGGAGAACTTCTACCTGGAGACCGCCTGATATCGGTCAATGAATGCTGTTTGGACAATACCTCACTTGCTGAAGCTGTGGAAATACTGAAGTCTGTGCCCCCGGGCGTTGTGCACCTTGGCATCTGTAAGCCTTTGGTGGTAAGTATTGAATTTTGTCAATATAGGATGTGATAAGAGTGTGATAGTTAAGAACATGGATTTTAAAGACAAATGCACTTGGCCTTGAATTCCCTGTTCCACTGTTTACTATGTGCTTGCCCTTGGGCAAGTTTCTTAATATCCTTGACTTACAACATGAACAAGTAATATCTATCTTATAGGGCTTGGGGGAATTAAGATTATATTTGATGGACGTGTAACTTATTATAGTTATATTACTGCTAGCCTCTAACTTCCTAGTTCTGCTACCATCACTCTATAAGTAGTTTTACATTTTAACTTTCATTTGAGAATGATGAGATGGCAAAGTACATTGAAATCCAGTTAACCATATCATTTGAACCATATGGCAATGAGATTTTAATGCTTTACTTACTCATCAGAATGTCTGGTAAGCCCTAGCATCTAGAACTCCTATACGGTTGAACCATCTTGAAGACGTCTTACTATTGAATGTACTGTGTCAGGTTACTATTCATGACCAAAGGGTACTTTACAGTTATGGTGCTGTTAAGTTCTCCAGTACAGAAACAAAAACAACAAACCCTTGATAATATTTCAGCCTTTAAAATATATATACATATATATGTCAGTCAGCATTTTAATCCCATTACAAGCATTAACTAACATAATCCTCAAAGCAACTTTAAGGGCAGTCCTCTGTTATTCTCAGTACAAATGAGTCAGTGGAGGCACAGAGGGCTGAGTAACTTTTCCAGGACTGTATAACTAGCAAGGGGTAGAACTGAAATATGATCTCAACTGGGCATCTTCAAACCCTGTGTTCTTAGCCACAGTACTGTGTAGCTATGTGTTCCTGTTTTATTATGTTGTGTCTTGTTTTGTTTGTATGCAGTCAGTGTGTCTACAACAGAGAGTTTGATCATGATAGGTTGTTCAGGAAACCTGGATTCTTTTTCTAGCTTAGCCCAGTAGGTTTCAAACTTGAAGATACGCAGTCTATGCAAGAAACCCTGGGAGATGGTTAAAATGAAGTTTCCCAGACTTTGCCCTCAGAGATTCTGATTTAGGAATTCTAATGTACTGTTGAGGAATCTCCCTCTTCAGTGGGTCACCTATGTTGTTTTGATGCAGAGATTTTCACTTTAAGAAGCATTGTGCAAGTAGTTTGATCAATCACTATACTACTTCTACAAACTTATTTCTTTACTGAGAAGAATGGTTAAAACTAGAGAACTAAGGTTTTTCTTAGTTTTAAAATCTTTTGGGGATGGCTAGAGGTGTGACTTAAGCAGTAGAGTGCCTGCCTAGCATGTGTGAAGTCCTGAGTTCAAACTCCAGTACTACAAAAAAAAAAAGAAAATTATTTCAAGGGAAAAGAGGAATGGGAATATAAGATACACTGTACCTTGTATAGAATTATTACAATGAAATCCCCTTGTATTATTAATATATGATAAATCAAAAATAAAAACCTTTCATTGTATGAAATATATTAACTTGTTGCATGAGTAACGTCCTATAAGTGCTCAAATAGCTAGCTAGATGAGAAGATACTATAGATAGATATGATCATATACAGATATAGGTAAGTGTACATGGGGTTTTTGCATTGGAAAAATCTCAATATGGCTTCTTGTGTTAACTTTTAAAAATATTTCAGTGCCAGGGATAGAATCCAGGCCCTTAAATATGGGAAGTACATGTTCTGCTGTTGATCTGCACTCCTGGTCTCAGTATCATATTTTTTATTCTTCATCTACTACAGATAAAAATGCCTGTATATGATACCTATCAGCACTTGAAATTGTTCCACATAGCTAACCAAGTTCTTGACTTTCTGTGTATTTGGTGTATTGTCATAGCCAATAAATGGTACAATGAAGTACTCAGTTTGATTTTTGGCTAAATTAAGGAGATAAAAAAAAAACTACTAATATTTTAATGGGACCTCATTTGCTTAGCATTTTAGGTTGTAGCACATACTTTGTCTAGATTTTTCCTGATGAATATTTGCTAGATTGTGGTGATTACATGGGAAAATTCCAAACTATTTAAGTCTGATAGGACATAATCAAGGAAGACTAAGACAGGGTAACAAAATGGGACTTAGTATCAATGGGGCATGGATTCCTTAGTGGTGTTTCTCATGGAGGGAGAGCTGCAAACCCTCAGACCCTGGGGCATTGCTCTGAGATTGTTCTGGAACATCATAATCTTGGGGAAGAGCTTGCCCAGCCTCTTTCCCTTCATGAGTCCAAGGCTGCCAGGATACTTAAGAGTGAGAGACTAGTGAGGACATTGAGAGGAAGGTCAATTGCAAGACTTTTTGTTTTTTAACCATTAAGTAATTCCTTCTTTAATATCTGGGTTCTTGTATAAAACTGCTCATGAGCTGTAAATAGTGATTCAAGGAACTAGGCACCAAATCTTTGCTGAATTCTCAGTCTTGGTCTCTGCCCCTTTCTTATGGTACAACTGGTGACTGCATATCTTGTCAACTGATGTTTCCTGGGCATTTATTCAATCCACGGCAGAAGGAGGGATAGAGAATATGTATAAAAAGATCCGAAGTCTGATTAGGACAGAAAGATTGTGAATACGTGAACAATTATGAGAACAAAATTATTTTTTTAAGGTGTACAATATATATCTATATAATTTCAATGATACATTTTCATCTTACCCATGAATGTGATTTTTATCTTCTCTTTTCTATAAACTTACCTCAAATATATCAGATCAAAAAAAAGTGAATGAACTGACCTTTTTTGCAGTGAGTTTTCAGCACTTGGGGGTAGAATTGGCAGTGGAACTCTTGAGCAGGACATCTATGGGTTTTGCTTAGTTTTGTGTGTCCTTGGGCCAGTTTATTGAGCCTCACCAAAACCCACCTTGCTGCTTTGTAAAGTGAGGATCCCACGTACAGCCACTGAGAACACGGGGTTCAGGGCAGACAGCCGGAGTTCAGATTCTGAATGTGGAACTGACTTGTTAGGAACACGGGGCAAAGTACTGTGTGCCTTTTACTGATGTACAATATTGTTAATGAGAACACCTACTTAAAGTATATATTAATACATTAATTATACATTAACTGTATTTAAACCTGTACCTGTGGATAGCTATATAACTATATATAAAAGGTCTAATTCTGGGTAGGTCATTTTTTTCCTTAAGGAATATTTAAAATTTGAGAAGCTCTAATCTAAATATGGCTTTCTTTTTAATTATGGGAGAAAGTTTCTTGTAATAAAACAATTTGCATAAATTTTGTTGTATACTTGTACAAGATGAAAATTAATCAGAAGAGGGTTTGAAACTAAAGGATTTTCTTGATCATAAAAGTGGTTTATATTTTCAGGAAGATGAGAAAGAAGAAAGTTGCTATGTTTTACATTTAAACAATAATGAAGATGAGACTGAACTTTCAGAAACAATTCATGATATAAATTCATCTTTAATACTTGAAGCACCCCAGGTATTTAGTAAATTTATTTCCCATTGGAATTATTTGCTGTGAGCTAGTTTCTATAAGAATACAAAAGCCTGTCTCCTCTCCCTTGGCTAAATAGATACAAATTGAATAATTCTTTTTCTTTCTCTCTCTCTCTCTCTCTCTCTCTCATACTCAGGCTGGGCTTGAATTCATGATCCTCAGCTTCTTGAGTGGCGGGATGTGGCTTTTCTTCTCTCTTTTATTAGTACTTGTAAAACTGTAATCTTTTCCTTCTGTTACATTGTTTTGTTAAATGACACAAGCAAGATGTAAGGCATTTAAGAAGAATAAACAATACCTTAGTTTGTATCACTAACATAGTCCCAAAACTGGAGGAAAGGGGATAGAATATATTATTGAAAGTTGACATGCATTTAAAATGCTGTAGAAAATGGAACTAAACAAAAAATGTTCATATTGAATGCTTTCTAAAGAAGAGTTATCTAGTTGAGTCGTACTTTATGCTATAATTGTAAGAAGTATAAATTAGAGCTTTTTGGTTTTTATTCTAAAGTATGCTTTTGTTCTTTGTGATTCGAATATGATTTTTGCTTGATAACAACTATCTAGTGACATAATTGGCTCTTGGCATCTATGTTGACACTGACAGGCATTCCTATAATGTTGGTCACACTTCTAAAATTGTAGACATTGTTATTAAAATCTCATAACCACGTGATATGTCATAATCTCTGGCTACAGTTGTTTTTTGGAAATAACCAGTACACAGTATTTGGTATACTATATTAATTTAAAAACTTCATGAAATGTTTAGCTGTGAAGAGAAGGCAATGGGAAAGAGTAGGTTTTCCCAGGAATTTACACTTGATAGTACTTAATAGATAGGGCTTAAAATAGGAATTATCATTGGTCTCTTAGCTGGAATTGGGCCTTATTGTACCCAGCACTGACAGGTTCCCCAGAGTTAGGTCAGAGGCTCAGCAAATCCACATATTCATCAGGCATTAGCCAGGGACTCAAAATTTCTGCCTGTGGATGACTGTTTAGGTTCAGTAGTATGCACTAGCTGTTCTGATTAGTGAACTGTGGGAAAAAAGTATACTGAATGCATTCTATTTATCATATACTTTCAACATATTTCTATTAAATGGTATATTATAAAAGAATTGTATTCAAAGGAGTTGAAACATACTGCCCACATTTTAGTTACAGAGGATAGTTTTTGAGGGCTGGGTATATAGCTCAGAGGTAGAGGACTTGCCTATCATGAGCAAGGCCCTGTATTAATTGCCAGCACTGCAAAAAAGAAAAAGAGAATATGTTTTGAACTTTCAAATAGCCATAATTTCTTTGTGTTACTTGGCAGTCTTGCCCTTGTAAATATTCGTATGAAGTGAGTCTGTATTGACATACTACTTTTTTAAAATTAAGTACATGGGTTAAATATTTAGTGTAACAGCTTAACAAAATTTCTATTTCTGATGGAGAATTTTCAGGTGGTTAATGTATAATGAATCTTTTAGAATAGTCATTCACCTTGCCATGGACAGGTTTCTGCCTCTTATTTTACTGTTTGTCCTTTCCCCTGAGTTGCGGGCAGTGTGGAGGTAAGCTTCTATTTCTGCTGTGTAGTGGGGAAATATAGCGGCTGACCCTGCTAGCCATGTGTGAGTACAGGCAGCATACTCAATTATGTCAGCATTTTGATTTTCTGGTTGAGGTGAATAGTACAGCTTTAAGTCAAGTGTAGTTTAACATTTTTTGCAACTTTTATTTGCAGGGTTTTAGAGATGAACCATATTTTAAAGAAGAACTTGTGGATGAACCATTTCTAGATTTGGGACAGTCTTTGCAGTCCTCACAGAAAGAAATAGACAATGGCAAGGAGTCCTGGGAAATGCAGGAGTTTCTGAGTCCTGGACTGGAGGAAATGGGCGAAGAAAGAGAGATGCTTGTTGATGAGGACTATGAACTGTATCAAGACCACTTTCGGCCCATGGAATTATATCTCTCAGCACACATGCCAGAGGCCACTCCTGTGCCCGCCAACCAGGAACACCAGTTTGGCACACAGTGGTTACATGATGACCTCTCAGGTGGTGAAATTCCCGAGTCTCCAGATACAGGTCTGTGAGGGGTGTATCTTCCCAGCAGACACAGCAGTATGGCTATAGCGCTGGAGACATGGTAAGAGCTTGTGCCATGGTTTCTCATTCTCTCATCTGCACCCCTGCCTCTTCCCATCTCTCCCTCATGTGACTTTCCAGAAATAAAACAAAGCAAAGCAAAAAATTTAATAGGTCTTTTCACAATGAGTGGTGGTTTACAAGATCTCCTGTAGACTGTATAAGGTCATTTATTTTGGGTCACCTATCTTTTCACAGGAATCAATAAGCTGGAGCTGTCTTGCTGCTGTAGTGGGTTTTCACTGTGCCTTTTTTTTGTTTTTGTTTTTGAAGGCAGAATCGTCCTGTGTAACTTAGGAGGCAAGCCTTGAACTTGCATTCTCCTGCCTCAGTTCTCGAGTGCTGGAATTACAGGTGTGCACTACCATGCCCAGCTTCACTAAGCCTTACTACTCACTTCAAGGAAGAGCTCTTTGAACATTTGTGATTGTCTTTTTCTTTTTTTGTTTTTCCTGCAGTACTGGGGTTTGAACTCAGGGCCTACAGCTTGAACCACTCCATCAGCCTTTTTTTTTGTGTGATGGGTTTTTTTGAGATAGGGTCTCATAAAATATTTGCCTAGACTGGCTCGGAACCTTGATCCTCCTTATCGCTGTCTCCTGAGTACCTAGGGTTACAGACATGAGCCACCAGCACCTGAAGATTTCCTTTTAAATTACCTAGGGGAACATAGTTGTATATTTTTCATGTAGCATGTTGATTAGGGAAAATAAAGGCAAAATTGATTTTTTAAAAATACTGTTAGTTATTTATATCTTGGCCGTACATAGTGTTCCCTGCACTATATATGACACAGAGAAGCAATGAAGACTAGAAAACCATCTCTCCATTTGAGACACTGTTTATTTGCAACTTGGAAGGTTTGCCCTTGATATTAAATCACCAGTAAACTTTGTTTTTTTCTAAACTTGTAGTCAACCAGTCACCAGTAGGAGTCTTTCATTAAAGGCTTTGTGTTTTTCTTTTTGCACTACTGGGGTTTGAACTCAGGTACTCTACCACTTGAGCCACTCCCCCAGCCCTTTCTGCTCTTAGTTATTATTTGAATAGGATTTCACTTTATGCCCAGCCCAGCCTGGGTGGTGATCTTTCTGTTTACACTTCCTGTTTAGCTAGGATGACAGGCATGTACCACCACAGCCAGCTTTTACTGGTTGATGGGGTCGTGAGAACTTTGCCTTTGCTGGCCCTAAGCTCCAATCCTCCCAATCTCTGCCTCCTGAATAGCTAGGATTATAGACATGAGCCACCACACCTGACCTCGTTAGGGACATTTTTTACTGTTTTATTTTTATTCACTTGTTTCTTCCCTGAATTAATTTTCAGACAAATGAAAAGATAGTCACTGTTCAGAGATGTTTTGAAAAAGTCAATTTAGTAGGATATCCGGAGGCAAGATTTTGCTCCGTGCCAGCCTGGCACCTCTTCTGTCATGGCAGGCAGTGCAGACCTTCCTTTGCCCTCCCACAGGGCCAGTAAACAGTGTTCTTCCCCTGCCTCCCCCAGACATTTCCTCTGTTCTTCCCTTCTGCAAGTCTTGTGGGTCCCTGTGTTGGGCAAGGTGCTATGTTAGCTGTGTTTTTGGGACCCTGGAGGACTCTCCATGGTAGAGGGCTCTGGGCAGCCTAGCAGGAATCAGATTTGTTTGGAATTTGTGAATGCTCCTGGATGGAAGAGGTGACAGAATCATCTAGAATGTTCCGGTTACATTGGTACTTTCTATGTCTGCCAGTCCCTTTCCTACAAGTGTACAGCCCCAAACTATATCGACTTTCATGAGCAAATTGGAATTAGAGATTATTGAAGATGCATAAATACCCACTTGTGATGGCAGATTTTCCTACAAAATTTTTTTTCTATTCAAGTAAGAGGCAACCTGAAATACTGATCTTTTTAAATATACAAACATTTAAGGATGTAGATGAAATATTCAGATGTATACTGGTAATATATACTTAATTTGCTTAGTTAAAATTTGTATTTTAAAACCTTTAAAATGAATTCTGAGTAAGGTTAGCCTGGCCCAAAATACCAAAAATTGTATGTTCTCTCTCATATGTGGACATTAGATCAAGGGAAAAAAAAAGTTTTACCTTTTATCACATTTAATATTTTATTCAAATTATTATAGTGCATATTTAGCGAAAGTATCAGCTGGCCACAATGGCTGACAACTCAGGAGGCAAAAGTAGGAAAATTGGGTCTGAGGCCAGCCCTGGAAAAATGGGAGACCCTATCCAAAAAATAACTAAAGCAGAAAAAGGCTTGGGGGCATGGTTCAAGTGGTAGAGCGCTTGTGAGAGCTCTGAGTTCAAACCCCAGTACCACCACCACCAAAGAAAGTATCAACATTCACTAGAATCTTTCTTTTTTTACTATTTAACACATTTTCCAAATATATCATCTTCATTTTCATCTAGGGCATTGAAATAACAGCAAATTTTGAATCCATGCTCTCACTCAAAATTTCATCCTTACCTCAAGCTCTCTTTGTATAGCATTAGGATTTTTGGAAGTCCCTCTTATCTGCTTATATCATTGTTTTCTGCAGGGTGATGGCTCACTCTCATTTAGTGACGTGTTTTTTTAAAGGCCTGTTTAAGACAATAATCAATGCTTACATTTGAAGGACACGCACCCTCTTACTAAGCCTGGGTTAAATTTCCTAGTTTCCTTCTTTTTGTTTCCCCTTACTTGCTTATTATTGCTGTTCTCTTCAATAAAAAGAATTTTTTTTCAATTTCCCCAAATAAAGGCTACCTAAATTATCAGCCTATGTTAATATATAAACTTTTAAGACTATAGATAAAATAACCAAATGTATATTTATAGTATTTACTTTGTATATTGACCATTCATATTTTAAAACCGTACAATGTTAATTTTCTGGCCTATTCTCACATCTAAGGATAAGGTTATAGAATGTATAGTTAAAGATTGTTTAAGCCCCAGTGGATGTTGCTCAAGAGTATTTTATTTTCCTTAAGTAGTTATCTTTCCTTGCTTGGGTCATTGACGCTTTTCCTCCCTCCCAGTGATGATAGTTCATACCACACTATCAGGATGGGCCTGCATCTTTATTGGCCCACCTCTCATTACTAATGGACCCCCAAGGTGATAATTTGTTATCTAGTACAGGTCACGTATCCCTTATCCAAAATGCTTGAGATCAGAATGATTAGGGTTTTGAGATATTTATATATTCTTCAAGGAGTATGTTGGGATGAGACCCACATCTAAAAGCAAAGTTCATTTGTGTCTCCTGCATACTTTACACATGTAGCCAGTAGGTGTTTGTCTACAGTGCTTTTAGTGTTATTGCCCTGCCTAGCAAGCATGAGGCCCTGTGTTCAAACCCAAATACTGCCCCCCAAAAAAAGCAAAACAAGTGTTATTGCATTTTTGTTTTAAACCCCTATGCTAGGTCAGGTGTGGAATTTTCCACTTATTGTGTCATGTGGTACTCGAAAAGTTTTGGATTTTGGAGCATTTTGGATTTAGTATTTTCAAATGAGGAGATTCTTAACCTGTAATACTATGTAATACTGCAATCCCTGAGAGAATTTTGAAAGCACATTCAAATGTCTAACAAATGCGTAATTCGCAGTTCCTGCTTTAGAGAGGCCCCTCTAGAAGGGTGGAGAGACGTCATTTGTGCCTTGCTTGCAGGACCCATTTTGGGCTACAGATGTGGCTGTGTTTGTGTAGTACAGCACTACGTGAATGCTTCAAAAATTGTCATTCTCCACCACCTTCATATGTCCTTTTAGTTTAAGAGTGAGACTTAAAGGTTTGTAGGTCTAGTTTTTTGTAAGTGTGGTAAAACACATAACCTTCAATCTACCATTTAAATCATGCTTAGGTGTGCAGTTCAGTGGTATTAAATACCTTGTTGTGTGCCCCATCAGTCTTCACACATTTTTTATCTCCCATCACTGGAACACTATACCACTGAACAATAACCTCCTCTCCCCGTCCCCGGTTACCAGCCACCATTCTATTTTCTATTTACGAATTTGAGTACTTGTTAGAAGTGGAGTCAGGCAATATTTATTATTATGTGTCTGCTTACCTCATTTAACACAATGTCTTCAAAGTTCATCCACGTTGTACTATTTATTAAAACTTCCTTTTTGGAGCCCAGTAATTCCCCCTTGTATGTATATGTTAGAAGGAAAAAAACCAAACATTTCCTCTGCTTTCTGGTTCATGCCTGGGAGAGTGCAAATTAAAGTGACAAAAGGCATTAACAAGAGGAAAAGGAATGGTTTCTATGGAAAGAACAAAAAGGTTTTTTTTCTGTTTGTTTAGGAAAGACAGTGGGTTTTCAGAAGAACAAATGATCAATCTTTCTACTCTTCAAGAGAGGTTTCATAGTAGGCTTACTCTTCTTGGTAGTGGACCGGACCTCGGACCTCTTTGACATTTGACAGTCTCATTTCCCACAGTTGCTGCTTTTAATCATACAAGGGAAGCTCTAAGAGGGCTTCTCTTTGCATTTTTTGAATCTTAAATATCTTTAGCGTAAAATCATCCATACCGACTGCGGGATTCCAAGAGGGCCCTGCACACATGCCATTTTTTGCTTTCCATTCTTTGGTGGTGGATATTTGGATATTTGGGTTCCTTCTACCTTTGATCTTTGTGGATGCTGCTGTGAACCTCAGTAGATACAGAACTGCTTTCAGTTCCTTTTGGTTGTCAGTCTAAGTAACAATCAGAAATTCTTCAGAGAATAATGGTACAGATTTGGGAATGACAGCATTTCAGTGGGATTACATGTGCCATACTAAATACTGGGCATGTCCAAGGAGGTTGAGGCAAGGGGAAGTTTTTAAAAAGGGAGAAATTAGCATGATCTACTTGAATATAAAGTTCATTGAAGACATGAGGCAGAGGCTGGCTGAGCTTACTGGTGGAAGTGCCCTTGCTAGGCCTTGAATGGTAAATGTTGATTGGATCCAGAGAGGCCTAGGGGATTGGATGTGTCTGAGAAGGAATGTAGCTAATACAAGAACTTTGTCTAAGTTGTTGCAGCCTTAAAGAACTTAAACTTTGTAACTGAAATCTGTGCCTATCTGTAAGGCTTGCAAAGCATGAGGTGCAGCTAGAGTGAGAAGAATTCTCTTTTGTACCCTTGGAAGCTTCTTGAGAAAGACCTCATTCTCAGATAGGCAGGCATGAGTCCTCCCCCTCTTAACTTTCCAGCTCCATTTTTGTCTGGGTCTGACAAGAACTATTTCACCTTGGTATCATCTACTTTCACAGGGTATTTACAGAGAGGTGCAATTGCCAGAACATATGATAATTCCTTATTTATTTTTGAGGAAACACCATACTGTTTTTCATAGCAGCTGTACTACATTGCATTCCCACCAGTCATGCACAGTTTCCAGTTTCTCCTCATCCTCTTTGCTCTAGGTTTTGTGTGTAAGAGAGAGAGAGAGAGAGAGAGAGAGAGGGAGGGAGAGAGAGAGATTGTGAAGTACTGTCTCATTGAGATTTGGTTTTTTTCTTTTTGGTGATACTAGAAGTTGAACTAAGAGACTTGCACTTGCCAGGTAGGCACTCTTAACTTCAGACAGACCCCCAGCCCTTTTTGCTTTAGGTATTTCTAGAATAGGGTATTGCATCTCCCCCTCCAGCCAGGATCCTCCTGTTTACACGTCTTGCAGATTGAGGGTGACAGATGTTTGACACCACATCCAGCTGTTGTTTAAGATGGGATCTCCCTGACTTTTTGCCCAAACTGACATTTACTTCACTTCTCCTGATCTCAGCTTCCTGAGTAGCAAGGATTACAGATGTGAGACAGTATTTGGTATACCAGTTCATAAGATCTGATCATAATTCTACAAAAAGTGAATCACTGTAAAATATATACTTCATATATTCTGAACAAAAATTTAAAAATCCTAATAAAATGATGAAAATTTATGTTGTATATCTTAGCTGAGCTGCTATAACAAAAATACCACAAACTGGGTAGTTTATAAATAAAATGTACTTATTTCTCACATTTCTGGAGACCAGGAAATCCAAGGTCAAGGTGCTGATAGTTCTCTGTTTGGGAAGGGCCTGATTTTTGTTTAATAAATATAACTTTGTAACAGTGTGCTCACATGGTAGAAGGGCCAAAGAGTCACTCTCTGGCCTCTTTTTATAAGGGCACTGATCTAGTTCATGAGGACAGAGCCCTTGACCTAATCACCTTAGAAGAGGCCCTACCTCCTAATACCTCCTCCTTGGGGCAATAAGGGCTGAAAAACTCCATTTCTATCCTGGCAGAGTCCTAGAATTAAATCGACATGAGATAGATTAACAGTAAAAAAGCATACAAATTAATTTCACAAATTTTATGTGACATAGGAGTCCTCATAAAAAATAAAGACCTAAAGAGCAATTAGAATGAGTTATGTACTGGATTGGAGAAGAATAATACAGTGTGCAAGTGTAACTAAAGTTTAGAAGTCTTAAGAGATGTTATCCTAATGAGGTCTGTAAGGTGTTCTGTGTTTCACCTTCTCATCCTTCAAGCTAAGGATGCTGACCTTGCTTTTTCTTGTGTAGGGAGCATGTCTTTCATACAGGAAATAGGATTTCATCTTCCTCTCTTAAACAGAGGAGGGTCCAAGTGATCTTTTTGCACCTGCTGTGTTTCAAGTGCCTTTAACTTAGCAGTTGATATGTCATAATAGCATATTTAACCCTTTCAAGGATTTGAATTTCAGCATATGAATTTTAGAAGGACACAAACATTTTAGCATTCTGACAGTTTTTGAACTTTAGAAAACCATAAAAGACATGTGTGTAAGAAGAAAAGAGGAAAGTGCACTGTGTTTTCAACAAATTTTTGTTGTTGTTGTTGTTTGTTTTGATGTTTAGAGACAGGGAACTTATGTAGCCCAGGGTGGCCTCAAACACAGTCCTGTTGCCTTAGCCACTGAGCACTGGATTACAGGCATGTACTACTTCCATGCCCAGCTTCTACAATGTTTAGCTGTAGGCTTTAAGTTTGGGTCATCATCAGGCAGGTAAGAGTGATAGGAAGAGCAAGGCGACATGGTGGCACACTGGTAATCCTAACACTCAGGAGGATGAAACGAGGATTTTGAGTTCCAGGCCAGCCTGGGCTATATAGGAAAACCCTGTTACAAAATAAAAACAAACTGTACAAGCAAAAAAGAATGCTTAGCAATATGAAAATTTACTGTGTCTTTTTGGGATCTGCAGTGGAGCTGTTTACGGTCTGGGTATCAGCAACAACTGACCTCAGCTGCTGTGGTCAACCGTCTGCTCTTCTTCCTTGTATATATTTATTTCAATCCACGTATGTTCTGCAACAACGTTTGTATTAAAAATCTAGTGTTTGGCTAGGGCAGATTTTACTAGTATGAACTCTTGGAGATATTAAGTTCCCAGCAGGATAAACTAGCATGTAAGGATGCCTGTTTGCAGGGCCAGTGCTCAGCTATCACTGTTATCTGATTTGAACACATTACATTGTTCCAACTTGTTTCGTAAAGGAGGAATGCATTTCTATTTTTTCTCCCTTTCAAGATGGAAGAAACCTTTGGCTATGATTCCTTACCACCTGTACCTTCTGCTGAAGAAAACAGTCAACATGGGAGATTTGATGATCTAGAGAATCTCAATTCATTGGCAAAAGGCAGCCTGGATTTAGGTTTGTGATTTTTGTTTCTTACAACACAAGTTTGACTATTTGCAATCTTTCTGTTTTATATTGTGTATAGTGAGTTTCACTGTCACATTTTCATTCGTTCAGATGCTTTGAATTTAAATCTGCTTGTCAATTGTCTGCTTCAGAACACCTGGAAGAACAACTGTGTTCAGATTTCAACAGAGAAATGTCAGATTCTGTTTTCTGGGAGGGCTAATTTTGGTTTTTATTAGCAGTATGGATTAAAACATGAACTGGTACCTTACATTGAAATAAGTCTACTACTGTATGTTAAAAATCTCTGATGCTTTTAAATGGTATTGTTAGCTCATTGAATGGCACTGTTAAATATTAATAAAGAGAGGCATATTAGAACATTCATGAAACATTTTCATAGCCAGACATTATAGTCAGTTTTAGTTCATTAATAGCTTAGTTTCCGTCAAGAAATTCTAAAAATATCATGCCTCTCCTTGTCTCCCCTGATGTAAACTCCTATATACTTTTAAAAACTTGACTTTAAGAAATAACTTTTCTGCATTCAGCACTGAACTCCTGAGTGTCATTGTGATATTAACATCCCTGTATAAGACTGGTGAGTTCTTTCCTAGCCCCGGGCTTTGTGGAGCCACTGGTGAAGATTTACACTCTCTCTTCTGCTGTGAATCTACTTACAGAGAAGCCCTCCATGTGCATTTCTCCTGATGTACTTGAGATGTCGTTGTGGGGGTAGAGAGAGTACTTTCGAAAGATCGATGTGAGATCAGGATTCTGTTGAGTAAAAACTGCAGAACAGAATCCTAGTGGTACAGATTGGAGGCATCTATGGTTGGATAACACTCGTCAGTTCCTTGTGGGTCAGAACAGTGCACGGGTAGTTGCTTTTGAATGCCTATGATTAAATGAGTCTATGAATTTTTTAAGATTATGGCTGAGAGAAAATGGGACTTTTTTTTTGCCCCCAAGCTTTCCAGGTACACTGCTTTTTAAAATTCACATTTCTATAGTTTGCTGAATATTAAGAACTTGTTCATGATTTATAACAAAATGAATGCACAGACTGAGCCTGTTTGATTACCATCGATACTGGGCAGCAGTCTTGGACTTCCTCGGACCAGATCATTCTTGTGTAGAGTGGGGAACTGCTCTGTACATTCCAGGATGTGCAGCTATTTCCCTGGCCTCTACCCTGGAATGTTGGTGATGCTCACTCTTCTAGTCTTGACCAAAATCACAATATCTTTGGACATTGCCAGATGTCTCCCTGTGGGCACAACTGCCCTTGGTTGCGAACCACAGCCTTGTGCCCTCAGGATTGAAAGGAGTTGACTAGATATATATGGATGAGTGCCAGGGAGTGAACTTGGGTAGAAGACAGGGAAGGGATGATGTTCTCATGGGATGGTCCAGTCCTCCCACCCCAAGCCCTGCTCGTTGTGTCATCTAAATGACTTCGGAGTTACTGTCTATGCTTTCTACTGCCTGTGTTAGCTTCCTATGGCTGCTGTAACAAATCACCACACTCTCGATGGCTTAAAACAATAGATATAATCTCTTTCAGTGTTCTGGGGGCCAGAAGTCCCACATCAGTCTCATAAGCCATTCTGATGGCTCTAGGGAAGAGTCTAGTCTTTGCTCTTTCAGCTTTTGGTGGCTCCATATGGCAGTATCACTTCACTTTCTGCCTTTGTCTTCACTTGGCCTCCTTTTTTACCCATCTGTGGTGTCTTCTCCTCTTCAGTCTCTTATAAGGTCACCTGTCATTGGATTTGGAGTCACTTGAGTAATCCAGGATGTTCTCACCTCAAGAGCTCTACCTTATTTGCATCTGCAAAAACTCTTTTCTCAAATAAGTTACATTTGTAGGTTCTGGAACATGGACATATCTTTTTTGGGGGGGTAGGGGACACCGTTCAACCACTACATTGCCTTAGTCTGTTACTTTGCAAGACCCTATGTTAAGTTTATTGTTTGAGGTATAACTTTAGGAATATACTAAATTTATGTATCTTAGACTGTCCCCACTAGAAAAGCATTCATAACCACATGCTTTCAGAGAAAGATTTTGAGAACCTCCAACATGCATGCTATGTGGAGGACATGAGTAGATTCATGCCATCCATGGTTGATGCAGATTTCAGTGGCATGCATATTGAGTTAACTCTACTCTGCTTCTCATTTTCTTCCTGAGATTCCTGTCCAGCAAACAACAGGCTCTGTTTCAATCTAGGCCCTCTGTGCTGAGCTATTAACCTGCCATGTCACCAAGCAAGCCTCAGCTTCTCCATTTTCTCAATTATAAAATGAAGAATTATGACCAGGTGCTGAGACCCCTTTCAAGTCTTTAGCTAGTTCACTCTATTACTTGTGCTTTTTTTTTTTGGCCAGGGTTTGGAGGGTAGGGGAAGGAGTAGGATGGGACTGGGGTTTGAACTCAATGCTTCACACTTGCAAAGCAGGTGCTCTACCACTTGAGCCATACCTCTAGTCCTCCACTCTATTACGAACAGGCAGTCTGAGATTTATCTATAGTACAATTACTTTAAAAATCATTTTTGAGAACATAAGTATAATAGGCTGCTGTTGACCCTGTAGTTAATAAAAAATGAGGTATCCTTGAGTAAGGCTATAGCTCAGTGATAGAGTGCATGCTAGATTTCAGCCCCAGCCCCATCAGAACTGAACAACAATCACAACAAAACCCAAAACCAACAAAATGATGTATCCTGAAGGAACTTATATTGTCCATGGGCTATGAGCCTGTGAATGAGCGTGACTAACAATGTAAGGCACACAATAAATTCCAAATGAGGAATATACTTAGTGCTACAAGATTTTGGGCAGAAGTAGCTCCATTTCCCTGTTTCCAACTTCCCTGTCCTGAATGGGTCTGTCATTGGCCTCCAGAGTCAGTGCACATGCTGTAAACTGAGCTTCTGAAGGACTTCTGTAGCCATAGTACACTGAAGAAGTATTTGTTAAGTGAGAGCATGACATACTGCTCATGTGTGGTTATTCAATACCAACATCATCTCACTACTTTTGGTTTTTGTTTTTTTTTTTTCAGTTGCTACATTATACAATCACACAATCTCCTCTCTATTCGGATTCTGTTTGCCTTTTGTTGATGCCATTCTGTTCTTGGTACCACACCAAGTATAAACTTTTTTAAAGTTTCCCCATTCCTCTGCTGTGAGCATTAACTTCCATCCATCCAGGCGCATATTTCTTTTTTAACTTCCCTGTTTTTCTAACCTCTGTGCCCCTGTTATGTCTGTTACCTAATGACTGCAGTGGCCTTCCAGGATGTGATTTGTTTTATGGGCTCGTGGGTGCTGGGAAGCACTCGGTGACCAGCTCTGTAGAGTGTGTGTTAAGAGGTGAGAGATGTGAGCCTGAGCAGCAACTAGGGTCTAGTGACGAGTCAGTGGGCAAAGGACTCGGGCAGCCTCTGTGTGCAGCAGGAATGAGAAGTGGTACACACTACAGTAACCTGTGCAGCCTATGGTGTGACTTAACAGACTACTTTTTACCATCAGAGCTGCACAGGAAGAAGCTCTGCAGACAGAATCAGTTCCTGTTCTCCCAACTCTGTTTGTCCCCATTCCTGTCCAAGTCCTGCTCCCACATCTAGGTCCCCTTCTCGTCAGTGAAGAGGCACAGATAGCCAAAGCTGGAGCAGCTGGGCAATGCTTTGACTATTTTGTAGGAATGTGGGCCCCAGCAGATGGAGCGAAGGTATTTGGGAATGGCAAAGTCAGTTGGGACTTCTTTTAGTGCTCCCTGCTCACAGGAAGGACTTCAGTTTTAGGATTTTTCTTTTTTCTCTCTGCGTTGTTTGGTTTAGTTTGGTTTGAAGGGCACCTGTGCTGTGTCGCATTCTTCTGCTTGTCACATTGCTGAGCTGTAGTGATTTTTGTGGTGACAAATCAAAACACCATTTAAGCTCTGTGCTTTTCAAACCAGTCTGCCTCCTCACACTGTTTACTCTACACAGCACACTTAGAGATTTGAGCAGGACGGGTTCCCCAGGTCCCTGACTGCTCTATTTAAAATAGCCGTTTCTCCTTCTGGAACTTAGCGCCTCTGATGTCATTCAGAGTGTTCAGTCTGTCCGTCCACACTAGCATGTGGCTCCCAGTGGTAGGAACTTTGTTAGCTTTGTGCACCCGAGTACCTGAGAGTTCCTGGCAGTGGAGGGTGCTTCCTGAACACTCATCGAGCAAACGTTTAAAAGCAAATGAACAACAACCACATTAATGTTGGATGTACCGAAAGCTTTGTCTTTCTTTCTTTTTTCTTTTTTCTTTTTTTTTTTTTTTGTAGTTTTAGTGTCTTCCTCTATGAGCCATAGAAGTAATACTTCATGTTTTTGGTCTTCTCACATTTGTTTGATGGGGAATAAAATAAAGTGTAGAAGTTACTTACATTAAACCATTTTTTCTTTTAGTTCAGGTTCCCTGCCAGAAAGATTTAAAAACTTACAAGAAGTGTACAAATAATAGATGTCTGTAATCTTGATAAGAGTATGCATTTTTTCTTATCGTTTGAATAAATGCTATATTATTTATTGTCTCCCATTCTTGTAAAACAGTGTTTCATCATCTTTCATATGCTTGAGCTTCTAGCCAACACTTTGATTATGAAATTTGTGATATTTTAAAATTTCTTCCTACCAGGAACATCATTTTAAAGAAATATATTGCAGGGAAAAACTGTTTTTAATCTATGGTTCATGGAACCTGTAGGTTGCCCCCATTATCTCTGGGAGAGACTCCTGCCCTGCCAAGTCCAGGGTTCTTTCCAGGCACTAAGGCGCTCCATAGCTGGGCCTCCTGGACCTCTCCCTTGCCTTGTATATCATTGTGCACTGAGCTGTGCACACTCAGCTCTGAACCATGCTACTTTTCTGTCTGTAATTACTCTGTGTTCACTGACAGTGTTTTACATTGCACATGCTCTGTGAAATGGACTGTGTGATGCAAGGACCCAGTATCCATTCTAATGATAACATTAGCTCTGAAGTTTTGATTTGCTTTCTTCTTAGGCAAACAGTATCTTCTCCCATTTTAACTAAAAACTCATTTTTGATTTATTAAACAGGTATTTACTCATTCAAAGGTACTTGTTAGTTGCTTTCTATGTAGGTTCCATGTGGGTTGTGAGGATGGAGCAGTGAACAAAACATAGTCAGCTCTTGTGGAGCCCATGTCCTAATGGTAGCTAGTGCTGCTATGTCCTACTTAGCAAGTCCTAATGCTGTGGTACGGATGAGGAGGGAAAGTAAGGCACTGAGGGGGATATGGAGTATTTGAGGTGGGTTTCTATTTAATAGGGGTGGCATGACTAGGCTGTTTTAGTAGGAGGACATTTGACTGAGAATTGAGTGAAATGTGAGCCCCTTATAAAGATATTTCAGGTAGGACTAAGAGGTAAGATAATGCAGATAAACACAAAATAGACATAAAAATTGTCTATAAGGACATGGTTTGGTTGTTATCTTTTCAAATGAGAAAACTCCCTGTCTACCCTCGTAACTTGCCTGTCAGCTTCCTTCCTCATCCCACATCTTTTCTTTCTAAGCAGTAAAACTATTAAAATGCAGCGTAATGCCCTCTCCATAGATAATCATTGTGTTGAACCCTGTGCATTATCTGCATGACTGTGTGTCATGACTATACCTGGGCATACATGTACACATGTCCATATGTTGTATGTTTATTGTACATAGTATGTCAGCACATGATCTACTGTGGTGAAACCAGACTGTCCCCCTCCAAGGTTATTTGAACTAATGGAAAGACAAAAATCATAGCTTTTCTAATTTTTTATATTAATATGAAAATCCTACAACATACTACCTAACTCTAGGGAAGAATACAAGAAGTAAAGCCCACAGCTGTCTTCCTCCTTCCACCAGTGCCTCTCAAGCTTACTACATGAACCCTCTTAAGTAGAAATAAGAATTAATAAAAATTTGGCAAAAAATGCTATAAATAGTTAAATAAATTATGACACTCTATATAGCTTACGTGCCAGGTAAAAATTGGCAAAATTCCTTAACCTGAGTGTCTTCATCCATAAAAAACAGTTGATAGTATTTTTTTCTTTCTACTCACAGTTTGATGTGAGAATTAAATGTGTTAACAGATGTAAAATGATTCTGAAATTTATAAACAAAGCCTTTTTAAAATTTAAGCATTCTTATTTGATTATTTGCTTTTCCATGGAGAGATTTTTTTTTTCTTTTTTTACTTAGTTAATTGTCAGAGAACCTATAATTGGAAGAGCCTAGGTTGATAAAAGGAGAATGTGCAGTAAGATTAGAAAACTATCATAAAAGGAATTCTTTTGATAAAATAATAATGTTGCTAAAATGTCATTTTTTTCAGTAAGCCATACTTAAACAGTAACCTCTCTGCTGAGCAATCCCATCCCCCTTCCTGGCTTCATTTTTCACTGTAGTACTTACCACCATCCAACATTAAGTCTTTCACTTGCTTGCTTTAATATTATCAGTCTTCTGCTTAGAAGGCTGCCTGCCCATAGTGGGCGCTGTTTGTTGAGTGGCTAAAGGAAGAATGACTGTGAATTTGCTCTTCAGGCATGATGACTCCAAATGATGTCCCAGGTGCCAGCATGCTTGTTGACCTTCCTGCTGTGGCTGAAAGGGAACAAGAAGATTTGCCTTTATACCAGCTCCCCAGGACCCGCGGTATTTCAGAGGCCTCAGCATACGTGGGGATGTCGTCTTCTAGATATGCCACTGGTGTATGGTATGGTATCATTTCTCTGTTTTCACCTTATAAAATAGGCTTCTGTTTTTTTGCTTTTTGCACAATTTTGGTGGATCATTTGGTAAATACAGAAAATATTATGACTAAATCTACTATATCAGACAATTACTATGTTAATGTCATTGGACCATGCATACACGTTTATGTTATTGTGCACAAAATGGATGACATAGAGAATTTGCTTAGAGAATAGGGGGTTAATTTAGAGCTTGTGTTAACAACTCAGGCAAATGTACTTGAGGACGAATTGAGGGGTGGATTTAAGACTTAGAGAATCTATAGGAAGGGTGACTAAACATGTTACGAATAGGATGACTCCTGCTTCTAGAGCAGGAAACTAGATGGATAACAGGATGGTAAGTCTTTGATAAAAGATTATAGGAGCCAGGTGCCAGTGGCTCATGCCTGTAATGCCAGCTGATCAGGAGGATTGGGGTTTGAAGCCAGTCTCAGCAAATAGCTCTCGAGATCCTAGCTCAAAAAAACCCATCACAACAAAGGGCTGGCAGAGTGGCTCAAGGTATTAGCCCTAAGTTCAAACCCCAGTACCGCCCAAAAAAAAGGAACAAAAACAGCTTGGAAGGGAAAGTCATGATGAGTTCATTTTAGGACATGTTGAATGTTGAAATCCCCATAGAACCAGAAAATGAAGTGGAATCCATTAGATATGTGAGTCTGAAGATTAATGTTGAAGTCTGTTCTAGCATGTATCATTGGGAGCAAGATCAAGTGTAGATAAAACTCCAGGATTTAAATGGTCACCCAGGGGAAGCTCAAACAGTAAGAAGAGCATAGGGCCAAGATTGGTGCCCTGTGAAAGAGCAGTGTTTAAGGCATGGTTGGAGGAAGAGTCGAGTGGGATGAATGAAAGGTAGAAGGAAATTGATGAACTAGAGTTTGAATTGGAAACCAAAGGAAGAGAGCATTTTTAACAAAAAGATCACCACAGGCTGTGATCATAAAGCTACAGAGAGGTCAAAGTAGATAAGACAAAGGAGTTTTCATGAAGCTTGGCCACATAAATGCCATTAGTAAGCACAGAGCATTTTCAGTAAAGTGGACTACTCAGACAGTAATGGGTTGAGAATTGAAGAAAAAGTCAGAAATTGTACACTGTAAGAACAGACTAGTGTTGAGAATCCAGGTTATGAAAAGAGGCTAATACTGCATATTGACCCAGGTAACTCCAAGGTATCATCGTATCAAGGAAAGGGGTAAGTGTTACATATATATAACTACATACATAAATATGCACATACATCACTGCATACACATTTAATTATGTATTATGTATAGATTATGTATGACCACATTCATATGTGTATGAAAAAACTCTAGAGAATTTTATTTGCTTGCTAGACAATGTAGCAAAGGAATATGTAGAGACTAGGAAGAGGGTGGGGAGGGCGCAGTTAAAACAGTCTTGAAGATTTTTCTAGGAAGGGAGGACATTGCACACCTAGAGAGATTAGCTTTTGAGAGTTAGATAGGTGCATTAGATAAGAGAAAGCTCACCTTCTCCACTGAGACAAGTGCCAAGAATAAAAAGAAGTACAAAAGCCAGTACCTTTTATAGCTTGGGGCAGGAATCCAAGGTGATTATTGTCCAATGACCCATGATTTTTTCTTCTGACACTCAAGAGTGAGGTTATTTACTCAGAGTGATGGAGTGCTAGGAAAGTGGTGTTAAAAGGAGATGTACAGGGATAGAGACTAGCTTTTGAAGCTAGGGTAGGAGGAGTTAAAAAAATTCTTACTCCCCGGGGAGTGACAGAATGAGCACCACTCATCTGAGTATGAAATCCTTGGCAGGATCCAGAGATATTGAAGTGCAGGTTCTAAGACAGTGCAGTGAGAGGGGAGGGCTAGAATAGTTTGCTTACAGACCAAGGAGATGGCATAGAGTATGACAGATAGCGTGCAGGGTGGGCCTTGGGGTAGAGGTATGGCCATCAAGGGAAGCATGTTGGAAGGAAAAGCTTACAAGGTGTAACATCGTGAATTGCTGTTATGCTGGCATATGAAATGTCTCATATTAGATGGTGGGCATTTCTCTGTTCTGCAGCTTGTACCCTTTGCCCAGAGTTATACATAAAAGCTTCATAAAAAACTTTCCAGAGCAGGAGGGGATGGGCACAGGTAGGCCCAACCATTGGAAGAACTGGTGGCTTTTTCACTCAACGGAACCAGACCAATGTCAGAGGAGAGTCGCTGCCAGGCCCTGTGTTCTGGGCAGCTCCTGAGGACCACATAGAGATAAATAAGCAATGATTCTTTCCTTAGGAGACATACCCCTAGGTGGAAGAGTTGGGAACATATTTTATGACTTTTTAATACAGCCAAATTGCTTTCCACATGAGATACCTTTGAATTTTAAGTTTGTCTTGTGCTTAGCGTTGCAAGTTGAATCTGCTAGAAGAAATCAGAAGTGGGGCTGCTACTCTAACCTGTGGAATTATAACTGTAGAACTGGTAAAGATCTAAGTACACGTCTAAGCCCACCCCACTGCCTTGCATAGAAGAGGAAGTGCAAACTGAGTTGTGTCTCATTCAATTCTCCCAGCCTCTGAGAGGGAAGATGTGCTTTACTCCCACCAGCTTCTCCTCAAGTGAGCACTTGGACAGGCTGAGTTCTTAACGCAGGCACAGGCATTTAAAGATCCAAACTAACTTGTGTCTTTGGAGATCTGTCTTATATTTGAAATTCTTTCTTGGCTTACTGTCAGAGATTTATGATGTATTTAAATCTCAGTGGTTTTGAAAGCGTTCCTGTAAATCATATTCCCCTCTTTTCACCTTTAAAGGCATGCCTCCAGTAGTTAGGTTCTGAGGTATTTATTGCCACTCATGAGCCTTCCTGAGTTTGGAAGTTTATCTTTAAGGCTGTTGGGGTATCCTGTTGTGCTGAGTGACACTTTATAGAGTTTCTTCTTTGCATGAATTTTTTGTAGACCCCTCACAGATGTCTATGAGCACACACATGTGCTCACATGTGCTGAAGATAAGGAGTTAATGACTGTGTTGTTTAGTGTACACTGTGTTTTTGCATCAAGCTGACCTCTCCTTTCCTTTGGAGGCTGTACTGGTATTAAGGTATCAAAGGTACCTTGAAAGTAGAGATCTTTAGACAGACAGTGTGGAAAGGAAGACTGTAGAGAGAATCCAGGTAAACATATTTGAAATATCCTCTCTTTTCTTAAGGTCAGTGAGATCATGTCTTCTGAACTCACCCAGTTTCCATCTTTTTCTTCCTCATCTCTGCCATCTGCTGTTAAGGACATATGGGTACCCATAGTGCTGGACAAGGGCATTTCACTGACTAAGAGGAGGTCTTCAGTGTGAATATATTGTGGACACTGTTCAAATCTTCCTCTGTTATAGTTATGTGACACTGAGGTTTCCCTGTAATGCTGTTTACCAGCAGAACCTGGGTGACCGAAGCCGTAAAAAGATAAGGGGACTACTGAGTCCTGCTCAGTAGCCACTTTAATGAAGTATACATTGCTTTTTATAAACTCCTTTTACACAGAGAGCATTTGGTCAGAAAAAGCATGCCAAGTATTACATGTCAAGGTTACATTAGTACAGGGAAATTAACTCCTTGTTATGTCTCTTTTAAAGTGGGAACAGAGAAGCAGGAGAAGCACATGGTCAGCATAACTTTCTTATTTACATCTGAAGGACACGAAGCCATCTGGGAACCTTGAATACTGTTTTTCTGGATGTCTGGCTTTCTCACAAGGCCAGATGCCAACTCACACAGGCAAGGTCCCACTGCTGGTTCCGACATTTCCCTATGCCTGTATTTCCTCATAGGTTAAGTAACAATGCATATAAAGGATTTACATTATTTTATTTGTCAACTATACATCAGTAAAGTCAGGGGAAGTGATATAATAATGCCTTGCTCACAGTGAATGTTTAATAAAAGATTGGCAGTGATGGTGGTAGCAGTGGCAATGACAATGATCAGTGTATGGGCAAGATGGGTTCTCTGGGTAACATCCATTGTTGCTGAATTTAATGATAGGATAAAACCATAGTAAGGGAAGCAAATGTCAGAGGCTAATGCGGGGAGGATAATGAACTTGAGGCAAAAGACCTGTATTTAAAAAACCAAACCCCATGTTGTAGGTAAAAGAGGATGTAAATGAACAGAAATGGTTTTAGGCTTTGGGAACTTTGTTATGAATAGTGGGAGGTAAAATAGGAGGCAGGGTGCCATGATTGGGGAAGGATTAAAGGAGTTAATGTTGTATTTTAAGTCCCTAAATAGAGGGCCTGGAATTTAGCACCTTCTAAATAAATGGTGGATATCTAATAGATTTGCCTTTGAGTTAAACTGCCAAAAGTTATGTGTAATTTAGCAGAGAATGAATTTATGTATTTGAGAGAGGGTTACCCTTAAGTAACCTTGGAGTTGAAAGAAAAAAGGGAAAGGTGAAAATTGGGGGCCTGTCTCAGTGGTAGCTTGTGTGCTTAGCATGTTTGGGGCACTGGGTTTAGTTCTCTAACACACACACACACACACACACACACACACACACACAGAGGACAGAAGAGGTTACTGGCAAGAGTATGGGATACATGACACTTTCCTGTTTTACAATATTGCCACAGCTGTGACCCAAACTACAAGTGACGTATGAAAATTTAAGACAGGAAGTATACAGAAATATTCTAATGCCTTTGAAAATGAAGTTAGATGTTTGATTACTAATCCAGACTGTACAGAAAGCCAAGAGAGAAGTCAAGTTAACCCAAGCAATTTATCATGTATGGCTTGGACTTTTGTTTCTTAACAAAACAAACACAATTTTACTCATTAATGAAACGTACTTTTTGTGGTACTGGGATTTGAACTCTGGACCTCACACTTGCTAGGCAGGTGCTTTTCTACTTGAGCAATTCAGACAGCCCTGTTTTGTGTTGGGAATTTTTGAGATAGGGTCTCACGAATTATTTGCCCAAGGCTGGCTTTGAATAACAGTCCTCCTGATCTCTGTCTCCTGAGTAGCTAGGATTACAGGTGTGAGCCACTGGCACCCAACAGTTGAAATGCACTTATTTTAAGGTATGCTTTGCTGCATTTTGATAAATGTACATTCATGTTGCCCACACCCCAATGAAGATAGGAAGCATTTCTGTCATCCAGAAGTTCCCCTCTGTCCCTTTTTAGTGTCTTACACCAGGCCTCCACTAATCTGATTTCTAATGCTATAATTTAATTTTCCCCATGCTGGAATGCACATAAATGTGGTCATACAGTAGCTGTTGTTTGTGTCTGCTTTTTTACTGCAACACAGTGTGTGTGTCATTCTAAACATTAATGTAAGGCAATGTTGAATTCTTACATACTGGTGTCACATAATGATTTGCTTCGCATCTTTAAAGTTATAGTGCAGCACCTGTGTAAGTAACTGCACTAATTTGGAAAACACTAGTGCCCACGTTTTCTGCTTCCAAATGCTTATATCTCTGTGACATGTTGCAGAAAACTGCCATGTGAAATCGGTATTAAAAGGGGACAAAGAAATATTGAAATCATGTAGTCACAATCAGAGCTCTATCTGCTTCCACCATTTCTGAGCACTGAGCTTTTTTGACCTGCATATGACTTAGTAAGTAGAAATTTTATATGATAAAAAGTACTATTAAGAGGAAAGATCACCTTGGCTATCTGGAGTCATCTGATTTTTGTGTGATGTTGAAACTTTTATTTGCAGAAAGATCGTATGTCATGGTCATGGATTAGCATTAATGTCTACTTGTTCACTAATGGAGTATTCCATCTTTTCCTTCACAGAATGATAACTTTGGGCATTTGTTATAAAGGCTGAAATAAAAAAGCATTGTATCTATTTGATGGTTAGTTCCTTTGGAGGAAAAATTGGTCATAAAACTGGTTGAAAAAAAAACCTGGTTGAATGTAGGGTTTTTTTTTTTGAGACTTAGCTTTTTTAGAACAGTTTTAGGTTCATAGCAAAATTGAGAGGAAGGTACAGAGATTTCCCACATACCCCCTTACCTACACACGTACAGCCTCCCCCATTATCAATATCACCTACTAGAACGGTATGTTCGTTACAATTGATGAACCTGGATGAACACCCTGAGTTCATAGTGTACATTGGGGTTCGCTCTTGGTGTTGTATGTTGTGCATATTTAAAGAATTCAATTATTTTAGGGTTTGCAAGTCTGACTGAGCTATTTCTCATGGTTAATTACAATGGAATTTATAAAATTTGAGGTTGGAAATCACTTGTTAATATTTCAAATGTGCTTCTATAAATTTACATCTTAATACAGTGCAGTAAAAGTATTTTACTTTCACTGTTAAGTTCTATTTTGGGTTAAAAGATATGTACATTCATCAAGGTAAAGTGACTGCATTAGTTGACAAAGTTGCTGAAACTACTGCATGGATAGGTTTCACAAGTTTTATCCTTTGTTAGGTATGAAATAATCTGAAAAAAATCTGTATACCAACTCCCTGAAGAAAGGCAATATGCTATGAAAAAAAAATCAGTGTCTTCCATCAGAATAATCCTTTTGTTGCATACTTTATCTAAGAAAACAATTTTTCATTGTTTTCTAAAACAGACCTTAGCTCCCCTACTGTGATGTTTCATGTGAGAGCCAGTAGTTTAGGAAACTTTGTTTTCATTATTTTAATTAGAAAAACAAGTTGCCCATACTACTTGTTAAAGTGTGGTTGCCCTTCTATTGCAGTTTTATTGGTTGTACTGGGGTTTGAACTCAGGGCCTTGTGCTTGCTAGGCAGATGATCTGTTTGAGCTGTGCCCCCCCCCAGATCTTTTTTATTTGAAGGATTTAATTCATGTAGTGATAGTATAAATGTGCCATAGTAAAAATACTTATTTTTCCCCTTTAATGCTCATCATGATTTGGAGTGCAAGAAAGTAGAAAACGCAGAGAAGGCTTCAGTGTTTTTTTTTTTTTTTAATTGATAGACTCTTTTGGGGTGAGGGGAGCCCTGGGGTTTGAATTTAGGGCTTTGTGCATGCTAGGCAGATACTCAACCATTTAAGCTATGCCTCCAGCACTCAATGTTGTTTTAATCTTAGTTTTCAGTCTTATTTTAGTGAATGTTTATTTAACTATTTCTAGAATACAGCAAAGCATGAAACTATTCCTTGCAATAATGTCCATAGTCCAAAAATAGGATATAATCTAAGTGTATCATATATTGTAATAGCAATATATCAGTGCCATTAACTAAGATACTTTTAAATAAAAAGTGATTAATACTATGGTAATATATGAGGAAATTTTTTATATAAATCAAGTGAAAAAATTATAAAAGACTATCTTGGTTGAACCTCAGTTAAACACTAGTTATATCTCATCTAATCCTTGCTACTATTTCATAGAATCACCAGAATATGAAAGTCTGTGCTGTGATTACAGCTACCCAGTAAATACAAATATGCACATGTGCCAGGAACAAGAATGTGATAGGACAGCATGAAGACAGGTCACAGAAGCTGGTGAATTGTGGGTGTCATTGAGGGACCATTCAGCTGCTCATAGAAACAAAATCCACATAGTGTGACCTAAGCAAACAGGGGCTTAGTTTGTTTTCACATAAAAAGAGCTGAAGAGTTGTTCTTGGGTTGGCATGGGTTGAATCCTATCTCATGATCTTAACACCTTTGTCATTGCTCCTCTTCTATCCTTAACACATGGCCTTAGTCCTCATTGTTATTTTAAGATCTGAAGGTGGTAACTGTACCACCAATGTCACCTCTGCATGGTAGGCAAGAATAAGAGAAAGGCACAGAGAAAAAGGCTCCTGAATTTTCCTGGAAGTCTCATCCAGGGACTTTTGCTTCTATACCACTAATTGAAACTATATCAGACAGTTCAGGAAATCCAGAAAATGTACTTTCTTTTTCCAAACTGGGCATAATGCCACCTGGAATAAAGTGGAAGTTATGATGGTAAGGAAGAAGGGAGCAGAAGACATTAGATAAATAACCAGGTAGTGTTGGCCAAGTAGTTTTCCCTGAATGAATGATACTTTTAAGTTGTAAAAATTAGACTGGCTAAGGCAAGGAAGCCATCTGGTCATGGGTAAGATGTTAATGATCCCAACTATTAAAGTGATGTTTGGATTGTCTAGATTCTTTTGACTTTCTCCTTCTCACATGGACTTACGATCATTATTTCCTAAAAAGTTTGTGGAGTGGTAGGTTGGTGGAGTTTTGCTACTCTATTCGGTACTTACTTGAGAGTTCAGAGAAAATTGGCACACTGACACTTGGTGCTGAAAGGGTAGGCTGTGTGTGGTGTGGTTGTCAGGTTATTTGGAGTCTGTGAACCTTTTCAGAGCCTCCCTTCCTCAAGAGTAAAATACCATACTGCAACCAGCTGGGCTTATTTCAGAGTTTTTAGGAAAATGAAACCCAAAAGGCAGTGCCTGTATCTTTGTATAGACTAATACCACTTATGGTAGCACATGTTATTAAATGATCCAACATCACATACCTATTTTATGATGCAGATTAGACTTGAGCTTACAATGGCTCCTCTGCCAGATAATAAATGATAATGCCTGTATCCTATTAGATCACATGACTCCTATAACCATTTACTCTAAGTCAGCATTTTATGTTATCCAGCTCAGCCGTTCCATTCTGACATAACTTAACAGGTAAAAATATAATGGGAGGGTATGAGATCAAATTATATAATGTAAGTAAATTTCTCTGTAACTGCACAAAATGTTCACAGGATACAAATGATAGAAGTCATTTGGGGTTAGAGTGATTGATAAAGGTATCATGTAATTGAAAGAAGTATCATGTTGACCTGTCAATTAATACTAGCCTGTTCTTTTATTTGGTCAACCAATTCCAAGTTTTAGCAAATGTATTTTGTATAGTGGTAGATAAACAAAAGTAAAATTGTACAGAGCAAGCACAAATTTGTAGAAAAATATCATCTGGAGTTTCACCAATAAGTGTTTATAATCATTCTGTGATTTTTCTGGTGTTGCATGGGGATTTGTTATATTGAATATTAAAGTAGATATGTTTGCTTTGTGTATTTACTGATAACAAATGTTGTAAAAGCTTAAAAATTAAGAACTTTTAATTCTCTATGCATTGTGTGATTTTGAAGCTTTCCAATAACTTAGAAGACTAAGAGTGTGTCTTATGAGTTGTATTTTTTTACTTTCTTTCCCCTCAGTGACTTACCTGAGAGAGAAGAAGGAGAAGGAGAAGAAACACCAAACTACAGCCACTGGGGTCCACCAAGAATGTATGTGGGTAACATTGTTGGCTTTCTCAGTAGCACAAGCACAGATGTCTGTCTAGGATCGTAGATAATGAACTGAATGCACTTTATGCCTGCATTATTAAGCAAGTCAGGTGGGGCTGCCTTGAATGTAGTGAAGCTGCAGAGTATAAGCAGCAGTAGCTGAGGTTTCTCCTACATATCAGTTTTTCTCTACTTTCCTCCCCTGTAGAGGCCAAGTTTGTGTCTTGTTTATGGTAACATCTTTCCTTGGATATGGTCATGGATTTCAATACTTGCCAGGTCTGCACTTTAAGATTATAGGTCTTCTTTTAGCTTCTCTCTCTCTCTCTCTCTCTCTCTCCTTTCCATTGCCACCCAACCTGTCCTTTTCTTGATTAAATTCTGAGTTTTGTCTTAAAAGCTCTTAGGATTTGCTTTCTGAGTTACTTTTAAATTTGATTTAATTGCTGGCCCTGTGTCTGTGGCTTAAGCAAAAATCTATAATATATATAAGGACAAATTTTATTAGGCAGAAAGAAAGAATATCATCCAGGCTTAGGAGTGAATAAAATCTGTCCTCTGATTTGAGAACTACAGAGCTTAGCCTTCAGACTAGGAAAAGAAGCATGGGCTGTGTCTCTCAGTGCCAATTTTATTTTATTCTGAGTCTGAGCTTTTTACTAGAATGTTATATGTGGCTTTCTTAGTTTTTCACCCATTTTTTATTTCCTCAGTTCATTCTTTGCTGATATTACAGATATAAATAACACATGCAAAAAAAATTAATAACAGGAGATGGGAACATTAAAGCCTAGCTAAATCTGGTCTGATTCTTAAGAGCTGTATGTATTGTTTTTAGAGATCTTTTTCAGATTTTAAACTTTTGCATGTCATTGACAACATCTTACAATTTTGGAATAACATTTGTAAAAATACATTTAGAAAATTTATTTTTATAAAACATGAATCATAAATTGAATACATGTAGAGACAGTTCAGCAAGTTAAATTAACTTGTTCATGATTGAATGTTTATGTTTTTGTAGGGTTGAGATTCATAGAGAACCCAATGTGTCTCTTGGTATCAGTATTGTTGGTGGACAAACAGTTATAAAACGTCTGAAGAATGGAGAGGAGCTTAAAGGTATATTTATCAAACAAGTTTTAGAAGACAGTCCAGCAGGAAAAACCAACGCACTTAAAACTGGAGATAAAATACTTGCGGTAAATGATATTAAAATATTACTTTTGTTTGAAAAATATTTAAGGCAGTAAAAGAACCATTTAGCCTGAAGACCTTTCTTTATGTGTTTATACAATTGGTATTGTCTATTTGTAAGCCTTAGTTTGTACGTTGTACACACAATTTATGAGTTTCTAAGTCTAGGGGAAAGCAAATAAAATGATAAAATGGAAACCTTAGCCACTCAAAAAAGATAATTTAACAAAGGGCTCTGTGGATAATGGGGTAGACGGTAGATATTATACTTCTTCCAAACCTTTCACGAGCTCTAAATTTCATAATAATGGGTCAATGGGATACCTGTGCTTGTCTAGAGAAAGGAATTGACCTTATAAAGTCAAAGACTGCGTCATGGGAGTGGCGGATCCATGTTTCACTTGTGATGAGCTTTGCAGGAACTAAATTGTAAAGGCAAATCAAAGCATAGCGACTCCCCCAAGATCTGAATATAATATTGTGTTGAGTTTATTCGATGGCACCATAGTGGGTAGCTCACTCCCAGAAGCTTGTTCATTTATTTATTTATTCATACATTCATTCACTTATTTATAAGATAAGGTCTTTAAGAAGATATAACAATGGAAAACATAAATGCATCAAGTATTGTTGCACTCAGTTTTATGAGACAACTATTATTGGACATAAGGAGACAAGTAAATCCAGGTACAGTCACAGTAGGTAACTTCAGTACCCTATTCTCACCAATAGCTAGGTCTTCCAGACTGAAGAACATCGTGGTTAAACTGCACGTAGATCCCCTGGATTTAATGTACATCCACAGAAGAGTCTGCACCTCAGTTGCGTAATAGTACACATTCTTCTCATCAGTCCACAGGACTTTCTCTGAAATACATCACGTTTTAGGCCATAAAACAAGTCTTAACAAATACAAGGAAATTAAAATGATTTCTTGTATCTTATCCAATCACAATAGAATAAAGCTATAAATCAATACCAAAAAGAAATACAGAAATTTTATAAACATATACAGATTGAAAAAAAGTTTTCATTTCCATCAGAAACTGGGATAAATCTAAATGGGGGGGTGTTAAGGTCTTCGTATGTGTCCCAGTCTGACTTGCTTTGAACTTTTGATATCTTACCCCAGCCTCCCACGTTCTGGGATTGCAGCTGTATTCATCATACCTGCTTGTTCTTGATTTGCACTTTCTGATGATGATAATCAGCTGTGGGGTTCAGTTCTGGAGACTGAAGTCTGGACTCTGTCCTTTTTCTAATTGTTGTTGTTCTTGGGCAAATTATTAGATGTACCATATCACTTGTTTCCAAATAAAATGGAAATGAGAATTCAAACCCAGCAGCATCATTGTGAGTGTTAAACAACTACAGAAAAGCAGCTCTGTATATACAAATTTCGGGTTGTGGAGGTTGAATGTTCCTTATCTTAAGTGCTTTGGAGTGGAAGTGTTTTCTGATTTGGTTCTTTTTTGGGTTTTGGAATATTTGCATTTATGTAACACAGTATCTTGGGGATGAGAATCAAATCTAAACATGAAATTCCATTTATGCTTCACACACACCTTATACACATAGCCTGGAGGTAATTTTATGCATTATTTTTACTGCAACTGTACTTTGATTGTGACCTGTCACATGAGGTCAGTTATGGCATCATGCCAGCACTCACAGAGTTTCAGATTTGGCAACATTTTGAATTTTGGATTTTTTTTGAGTGAGGGATGCTCAGCTTACATTTGCTTTTGTGAAATTTTTAGAAAGAATTCTAAATACACCAATAATATGGCAGTGAAAAAAAAATGACCAAAAGTGTCTTCCCTTACCATTTTTACATGGTAATGTAGTAGGAGGGAGAGAGGTAGTAAGTTAATTTGGAAAAAAAAAAAAGCCAAAGACAATTCACAGGCTCTTCAGCTTTCTTTTTTGTTTGTTTGGTTTTTGTAATTCTGGGGATCAAAACCAGGGTCTTGTGTGTGGTAGGCAAGTGGTCTATCACTGAGCCACATCCTCATCCCTTAATTTCTTTCTCAATTTTTTTTACTGTTCTTTGTTGTTTTATTTTTGTTAGTTTTTTGTGAACAACCATTAACCTGATTTTGCTTCTCTAATCTAAGCTGATAATCTTCATCTAAAATATAAGTGAGATTCCTTTTTACTTAGATAATCAGATCTATTTAAATTCTAATTTTTTTTGTATTTTTCCCTTATCGTTCTATTTTGAAATAATTCTAGATTCATAGGAAATTACAGAGAAATGTCCCAGAAAGTCCATGTACCCTTTCCTCAGTGGCCTTTGTTCGCTATGTAATAATAGCAGCACCAAGAAATTAACAGTGGCACAACCCACAGTTTGTTGAGATTTCATTAGTTATATGTGCAGTCCTGTGTGTGTGTAGCTCTGAGCAGTTTTATCACATAATCATACATGTGGCCTTGCATAAGCACCACCACACTCCAAAAGCTCAATTTAGGGCTGGCGGAGTGGCTCCAGTGGTGGAGCACCTGCGTACAAACCCCAGTACCACTAAAAATAAATAAACAAACAAACCTCACCTGTATCATCACAAGACCCCTATGTGACCCCTCTAGTGCTTCACCATCCCTAGCCTAGGACAACTACTAATCAGTTTCTCCATGCCTGTCATTGTTATTTCACAATTATCACACAAAAGGAATCATACATTATGTATCATTTTGAGATTTGCTTTATTTTTACTCAGCATAATTTCCTTGAGGTTCATTTAATTTATTGTATCAGAAGCTCATTCTTTTTTATTGCTGAGTAATTGTCTCAGTCTGTTTAGCTGCTATAACCAAGTATCATAAACAATAGAAATTTATCTTTCACTGTTCTCAAGGCTGGGAAGAGCAAGGTCAAAGCACTGGTAGCTTAGGTGTCTGTTGAGGACCTGCTTCTGTTTCATAAAAGGTATCTTCTTACTTATCCCCACAGGTGAAAGAGGGGAGCTAGCTCTCCTGGGCATTTTTTACAGGGGCACTAATCTCATTCTTGAGGGCAGAGTTGCCAGACCTAATATTACCTAGCAAAGGCCTCACCTCCCAGTACCTTCACCTGAGGGTTAGATTTCAATAAATGAGCTTTGAGGGGCACAAACATTCAGACTACAGCAGTAGCATTTTGTGGTGTGGATATAACATTACTTAACTGTGCACCCATTGAAGGATATTTGGGTAGTTTCTTATTATTAGCTATTGCAAATAAAGATGCTATAAATATTATACAGATTCCTGAATGAAATGGGATAAATATCCAAGTGCATACTTGCTGAGTTTTTGAAAAAAACCTATCAAATTATTTTCTAGAGTGGCTGTATCATTTTACATTCCTACTAGCCATGTATAAGTGATCAAGTTTCTCCATATCCTTACCAAATTTTGCTTTGTTAGTATTTTTCCACTTTGGCCTTTCTGTTAGGCAGGTAGTGATATCTCATTTTGGCTTCAGTTTGCACTTCCATCATAGCTAGCATGTAGCACGTTCTCATGTGCTTATTTGCATCTACGTATCCTTTCCAGTGGAATATCTTCACCTGTTCCCTAATGGATTAATTGTACTTTTATCTTTTTAAATTTTGGTGGGTTTTTGTTTTTTGCCTCTCATCTGTTTCTATTGTCAGTTGAATATAAAATGTTCTCTCACTCATCATTTGTTATACATAGTAACAAGAACCCAAGACTTTCTCTCGGATTTAATCATCTGTACTTTCCCAAACTCAGAGGTTACATTTCCTAAATGTTATATCAAATATAACGAATCACTTGTTTGCTTTTTTTCCTGTGAAAAGTATAAAGTTTTTGTTTTGTTCTAATTTTATTATTTGCTTATTTATTTATTTAAATTTTGTGGTACTGCAGCTTAAACTCAGGGCCTATACCTTGAGCCACTCCACCAGTCCTTTTTGTGATGATTTTTTTCGAGATAGGGTCTCGTGAACTATTTGCCTGGGTTGGTTTCCAACCATGATCCTCCTGATCTCTACCTCCTGAGTAGCTAGGATTACAGGCGTGAGCCACAGGCACCCGGCTTTTGTTTTGTTTTTAAGTACAGCCTAGTAATCATTTCTCTCTGTATAACAAGTGTCTGAAAGCAATAACATGAAGGATTTAGATGCATAAAATAAAGAATTTTTATAAACTAGGAAGTGAGAACTTAACTTTTCAGAAATGGATCTTCATCTGAGGCAATAGATGAATCCTTGGATTATAGTTCTGAAGCTGAGGAAAACCAAGATGGTTTTTAGATATGTTTGGTAAATACAGTGTGCTCTTGGAGATTTCTGGACATGCTAATAAATAAGCCTCTCCAAGTTTCTATAATAAGGAGCCCTTTACAGTTAGTTACCCAAACTAACTGGATGTAGACCCCTTTTAGTAAAAGAACCTATGGGTGTTTGAGTGTTTCTCTTTTAACATGGTTTAAGAAATGTTGAATTCTTGAATGTGATAATGGACAATTTGTTTAAATTAGGCAAATTGTTTAATGAAGAGACAATAAAAGTCCAGAGAGTTACTCCCAAAATCCCCTGCTCCCACTCAAAATTATGTGCTATGCTAGTGACAGGTGACAACTTATGGTTCTATTACATAATTGGCTTGTGTTATTTCACATGATCTCTTAAATGAAATTATGCCTTATGAGCTACCAGTTTTGGATCACTGTATTTAATCAAGGTTATAATGATATATGTGTCTTGGTTACTTTTCCTGAAGGTGCAACATTATTTTCCTTAAACCTGTCCTGAGACAGCAACACATTTCATGGGCCAATCTTATTTCCCCCCCCTGGGTGTGGTCTAAATCATTAGATTCTGACTGTTCTTATAAGTAGACAATCCACATGAACTTTGACTTCGCCTGCCCATAATACCTCATACTTTTCCAATCAGAATAAATTGCTTCTGTGTTTCAGGTGTCTGGAGTGGATTTGCAGAATGCCTCCCACAGTGAAGCAGTTGAGGCCATTAAGAATGCAGGAAACCCTGTGGTGTTTGTGGTTCAGAGCTTATCATCCACCCCAAGAGTAAGTTTTACTTCCTGTTTTCTACAAGTTGAATACTATAGTCTTGCAAGGCAAGCACATCCCCAACCCACAGTGCTGTTTCTACACCTGTGGATCAAATTTTTGCCTTCAAAAAATTTTCCACATATCTTCATTGTCACTTAGCTATAGTATTACTTAGAAACAGTATTAGCTTCACACAAATTTAGTTGTTAACTTCAATTTCCATTTCTCCCATTCCAATTTTGATTTGCTGGTCAAATTGAAGTCATTACAGTGTGTGATAGCTTAAGTCACAAGCAGTGGAGTCAAAGACCTGTTTCTAATTCCTTGGCTCCCTGTTGAGTAGCTTTGCATTTCTGAGCCAGTTACTTTATGAAATGCTTTGAATGCGAAGAGAGTCAGGTATGAAAACATTCTAGAGATCCATCAAATATGCTATATATTTATTAAAGCATGTAAATGCGGACATGTTGGCAGTGTTGAATTATTGTATGTCTGATATCAGATTTGAATTGAAAAATGACAGTATTTAACGATAACAGGTTTTTTTTTTAATAATTACTCATTTGGTATGGAATTGGAACTATGATAAGAAGGTACTGGTGGCAGGATGTGTATATCATATTGCAATGTGCAACAGAAATGTCACCCATAAATCCTATAACTGGAAACAATATTTTCCATTGTAATTAAAGACAGCTGTTCAAAACCTAGGCACTTGTGAACAGTAGAAAACCTACATATCTAGCAGAATTATTTGCTTTTCAATATACTAATGTAGTCCTTTACAAACTCCTTTACATCGAGCATTCAGAAAATAAAATTTGTACAGCAAACTGGGGAAGTAGATGGGCTAGCTGCTCTGGTGGGAGTGTATTTTGCATACTTGTCACCTCTCGCACACAGGAGGCCACAGCCTCTGCCTGATTCAGGCAGCATCTGCTGTGTTGTACTGCACTGCAGTACAGGGCCTTCGACTCTTAGTGCTAAATGTACCGTCAAGCTAATTGAAAGCAGTGAACTGAATAAAGTCCTCTCCTTTTCCTAAAATTTGAAATGCAATTTAGTTTTTCAGAACAGTTTTTTAACTCATAATATTGAGAATGTTGTTGTGTCCATCCTTCTTATTTCCGGAAACTGAATTCAATCAGAAAATTGGTCCGATTAGTCTTTGCCAAATGGATCTTAACAAAGAAACAACTTTGAGTAAAAATGAGTCAATCAAATTATGCATTTATGTGGCCAACTGTGAATGCCCTGCTGGAAAATATTCAAAGCATTTAAATAGGTAATAAAGTCAACCAAAAAAGGCTAAACTTTCAATCCAGCCTTTGCTTGTGAGCTAAAGTGGAAATTTTTGCTTGGATGACATGAACAGTGCAATTTCTTTCAGCTGTTCAAAAGAAGAAAATCTCTTCAGCATCATGCCATTCTCACATCAGTTGTCTGTGTGGTGTAACAGGCTACCACATTGTGTACTTGGTTGGTTAAGCGTTGAACTATGTGTGGTTCCAGCCAAGGGAGTGCATTCAGTTGATGGAGTTAATTACTGTGTCTATGACTTGGTTCCATTTTTGTCCTTGCTTCAGCTCAAAGTGATTTCTGCTGAATGAGGCAATTAAGCAAGTTTTATATCTTGCTAAAAGATGCTCTCTTTGACTTAATTCTTGGTGCAAGACCTACAGATCATCTAGGAATGGAAAATGTAGGCAATGCCTTCATCAACTTTATTTGTTTGTTTATTGATTTATTGGTACTAGGAATGGAATCCAGGGCCCTCATGCATACTAGCAAGCACTGACTGTACCACCGAGTTACATCCCTAGCTATCCTTTTTAATTTAATTTTTCTTTTTCTTTTCTTTTTCCAGTGCTGGGGATTGAACCCATAGTCTCACACATGTTAAACAGGCATTCTACCACTGATCTCCATCCCCAACCCCTATTTTGTTAGTTTGAGACAGGGTTTCAATCTTGCCATCTTCCTACCTCACCCTCCCAAGTAACTTGAATTACAGGTGTGAGCTACTGCACCCCATTACCTTCAACATTTCTAACAGTTAACATTAAATTTTGAACTTTTCCTCAAAACCTAAATAGAAGCCATTTCCTAATGTTGCGCTCATCAAGGCCTGATTGTCTAAAACTACCTTGGGGACATACGAGTCCTCCCCCACACCATGAGCCGGGTAATGGTGTGTGCGTGTGTGCAACACTAGCTGCCTTAGGGCACCACTGACACGTTACCTTTTAAGCGTCTAAATTCAGCATGCCGCCAAAACGTGGCTATCCACTTAGAGTTCCTTGGCCAATGGTTTTCTGAGACCAGAACCCATGATTTATACTGCACTTCTTTATAGAAGTTTTTATACCAGAGTAATTGTTGTTTCCACTTAACAACAACTGTATCTCATGGTATTATCACATTTTATTTAACATTCAAAAAAAAAACCTTTTGAAATTGGACTCATGTCTTCAGCTCATTAAGTTTAGTTTATATCTTGTGCTGTTTTGGCTCTTCTCATATTCTGTTGTACTTCCTTAATATTGTTTTATAAAGGCCCCTACATTTTTGGGCATATGCACATTTGATATATTAATCATATAAAATATATTTACTTTTATAAGAAATACATTGTCTTCTATTTTTGTAAAAGAGTCTTTTTTTGGTGAGCATTGACTTCTGAGTTTTGCTAATGATATGCATACAGAAATATGTCTTTGCTGTTCAAAAAACATTGTAAACATTGTAAGTGGAAATTAACATTCTGTCTAGGCAGCTTCAGCCGGCTTTTCCAGGGGAGAATGTAGGCCAGGCATGGTTTTGGTTTAAGATTCTTTGGGACAAGAATGTATGCCTGTGGACCCACCAGTCTTCAAACGCTGACTTATGTGCTCTGTGTGTTGAATAGCGATGTAAGTGCTAGGCACTACCACAGTGTTCAGATAGGAAGCACTGACGATGTATGTTCATGACTCATTGCTATTAGCTTTTAAACAAACCTTCTTGAGGCTTTCTCATTCATTCTAACTTAGTTTATTTAACAGTGAAAGAGAAGGAAGTTGAATCTTAAGTTGTGTTTAGATGAATGTGGATTTTTTGTTTTTGGGTGGTGGTTTTGTTTTTCATTTTCTCTAGGAAGGCAAATCCTTTAATTTTCTCAGAAAGATGATTTATTTTTTCTTTCAGTCTTCATGTCTCTTTTCAGGTTTTATGCCAACACTATACCTGTTAGTCATTAGAAGAACCTTAAAAAAAAAATCTCTAAGGGCTATGGATGTAGTAGCTCTGTGGTAGAGGCGCTTGCCTGGCAGGGCTAGGCTCTTGGTTTGATCCCCAGAATTGTAGGGGGAAAAAATCAATAAAAATATTATATATTCCTAAGATGTTCCATAGATAGTTTTACAAAAAGAAATGAGCCAAGAAATAAACAATGCAGTTGGCATCATTAAGAACTAAAATCATTTTTATGAAATTCTCTTATAATCACTATTGAACATAACTACATATTAAACCCCTTCTGAGCTGCATGGAAATGATGGAAAATGTCACTAAGTTCCTACTTAGCTTATCCCATGGTGGAAGTTTGTCATTCATCCCTATGCTAACAGTGATAGTGACATAGTTATTGAGGGTATGCTGGCTGGATAACATACTTTAACTGGGAGTACAATGATGAATGGGTAAATATATCAAATAAATGAGGTTTCCTATAATCTAGGAATTAATTTAAGTCACCACTGCGACTTTATTTTGGAAAATGAGATGTTTGGATGACAGTGTTGTAACCTTTTTAGTCTTCTTCATCTTCACACAAATCTGAATTTCTATTCCTAGGTGACATATAATTTTATAGTATTTTAGCGTTAATGCAACTTACCAGATTTTCCTAGTTTTATTGTTTGGCTTGAATTATACTTCTCATAGATTTTCTTTTGAGATGAAGTCACAAAGTTAATTATATATTTATTGTTTAAAAAATATAGTAAGAAAGGTTGGAGATGTAGCTCAGTGCCTTCCATGCTTAGCATATATAGGAGCCTAGGTTAGACTCCCCCCAGCACTGCAGACAGACAAACAAAACCCTAGTAAGAAATGCAATGAATCGGGAGGCTGAGATCAGGAAGATCACAGGGTTCTAGGCCAGCCTGGGCAAAAGTTTGTGAGACTCCCATCTCAAACAAAACACAACCAAAACAAAGGGAGGGAGGGAAAGAGGAAGAGAGAAAAGAAAAGGAAGAAATGCAATGAACATAAACATGACATTTGAACTTACTTTTTTCCCCTTGCCACCTCTTTTTTTGTTGTAGGTCATTACTAATGTGCATAACAAGGGCAACAAAACCACCAGTAGCCAGGACCAGGACGCCCAAGGAAGAAAAGAACAGGTAACCTGAACCACCCATGCTTCTGAAGAATGGTTGGGTTCCCTTTCCCATACCTGAGCTGTAATTATACAAATAGCTTTTGATGAGTGTCAGTGGAGAAGTACTGTGTGTGTATTTCCTCCCTTTGTGCATAAATGCTTCTCTCAAGGATGAAGTGGAGGTACAAAAGTATTGTAGAGGACCAGTCAGCCATGGACGTCTGTGTCTCTGCTTCCTACTTAGCTGGGCTGGTTTGTGTCCATTCCCAGAACTTGCTGCTCACGCTTGAGACTTTGATCTTTCTGTCTCAGCCTGGAAGTTCATTTCCTGCCTTGCTCTTCCCATAAGAATGCCTTCTCTACTGAAAAACTGTACTGTCAATGAGAGTTAACCATCCACTCATACCTGTTTTCCTACTTCTATTCTAGTAGAATTTGTTGACTTAAAAATGATTTTGAGATATGGTATCAGGTGGGAATGAATTTTCATTTTTCCCTCTTGTAAAGATAAGTGTTGTCCTACTGTGTTAAAATAGGACCTCCTTTGCCTACTGATTAACAGGGTAACGCTGTCACTTCAGGTTACAAGGAGGGGTCTGCTTCTGGGCTTTCTCTGTTCCATCTCTCAACTTGTCTATCCCAGCATGCAGGCTGTACTCTTAAATTATTGAAGCCTAATAATACATCTTATTTTTCAATAGAGCAATTTCTTTTACATATTTCTTCTTGTAAAGTCTTAACATATTTCTTCTTGTAAAGTCTTAACATATTTGTGTCCTTGTTTTCTGTGTAAATTTATAATCAGCTTGTCAATTTACAAAAACCTCTTGGGATATCCATTACAACTGTGTTGAAGCTGTAGATTTTAATTTGGAAAGATTTAAATGATGTTACAACTTTTTAGCAATTAACATGCTTTATTTTTTACTTATTAAAGTTTTTTTATTTCTTTCAATTTAAACAGAAGCTATTATAAACCTTTGATTTATTCCTTGATACCTTTACATTTTGTATCACTATTACATTATCTCTTTATGTTGCATTTTCTACTTGTTAGTGTATAGACATTAAATTGACTTTTATATATTTAGTCAATGTATTATAATGTGGTTGCCTTATTTTTTTATAACATGAAAAAATGTAGTGTCAAACATTAGGAAAGGCAAAACCCTGAAAAAATAAAGAATCTCTCTTAAACCCACCACTTAAAGTTAAAATTTTAGATGTTTTTTGTATAGCCTTCTAGTGTCTTTATGTTCTCTGTAAATATAGATGAAGTATTTTTAATAAGAATGTTAATATTTAAATTCTAATACAGATTTTTATTTTGGGATTTGCTACACATAATAATAGATACTTTGCAGACAAGCATTTTTCTTTCTCTTATTTCTTTTTCTTATTTTAGTGTATATTTAGTAAGACTTTCGATATTGTATTTAATGGAAGTAATGATAGCTATCATTCTTGTCATTTTTTTTTCTTGATATTTAAGGAAATGCTTTTAATATTTCACCACTGAATATAATGTGTGCTGTAGGTATTGAGATAATCCTTCAGATTAAGGAAATATTCCTTCATTCCTGTTTTCACTGTAGATTTTTAACATGAATGGCATTGACATTGAATTTTATCTAAAGTTTTACTTGCATTAACTGAAACAACCTTAAATCCTTGGATTTAATTTATTGTGATCATATTCATTTTTGCTCATTGTTAGTATTTTTTTTTTTTAAGCAGTACTGGGGTTTGCTAGGCAGGTGCTTTACTGCTTGAGCCGTGCCCCTAGCCCAGTATTTCTTTTAGGATTTTTGCATCCATGGTAATGAATAAGATTGACTTGGAAGTTTTCATTTGTATACTGCTGTTAGTTATGCTGTTAAGATGAATAGTAAAAGTATTTGTCTTTTTCCATTTTCTGAGTGTTTATATAAAATAGTAATTACCAATCCTTCATTTTGGTCAACTAGCCGATAAAACTATGTAAGCCTGTGTCTTCTATGTGGGAAAAAATTTTAAATACTGATTTAGTTCTTTAATAATTATTTCACATTCGTTGTCATAAGATTCATATATTCATGTGTTCTCTTAACTGTTATTATTTCTGCTCCATCCAGTTAGTTCTTTTGAAATTCTGCATGTAAACTGTTTGTCTTCTCCTATTGTTGATTAACATTAAAAGTAATTTTTTCATGTACTACTTTTTGGCGTCCAGCACTGGGGTTTGTACTTAGGGCTTTGCACTTGCTAGGCCTTCAGTGCATTTTGCTGTGGTTATTTTAGAGCTAGAGTCTCAATTTCAGCCCAGGATAGCCTGGGCAGAGATTCTCCTATTTTAAACTTTCTACTGTCACTGGGATGAGAGGCATGCACCACTATGCCCTGCTTTTTTCTATTGAGATGGGTCTTGCAAACTTTTTGGCCTGGGCTGTCCTGGAACCATGATCCTCCCCATCTCAGCTTCCTAAATAGTTTGGGATGACAGGCTCACACTACCACGCCAGCTATTGGTTGAGATGGAGTCTTGCATATTTTTTTGCCCAGACTGATCTCAAACTGAAATCCTCCCAGTCTCAGCCAAGTAGTAATTCTTTTTGAAGAATTAACTTTTGACCTGTGTTGATCTTCTGTATTGTATCATTTCTCTGCTTAATTAATTTTGTTACCATCTTAATGTTGCTTTACTTCTTTGTTTGGTCTTATTCTCCTCAGCCCCCACACCAAATCTTTAGTTATTTGAAGAGCATATTAGTTTTTAATCCTTCTTTCTTTTTTAAAATCCATGTTTACTTGCATCACAAGATGTTAACTTGAATTTCTGTTGTTCAATACCAAGCTATTTCATGCTTGTAGAATTTTTCATACCCTAGGTTTATTTAGAAATGCATTTTTAAATGTCCCCTATGAATATTTTAAAAAATCTTTTTATTACCTACTAACTTCATTTATAATGGAAATTGTTATGTGTATAACATTAATTCTTGCACATCAGTTGAGACTTTTTTTTCCCAGATAGGGTCTTATTATGTAACTCAGGGTGGCCTCAAACTCATTATGTAGCCTAGCCTAGCTTTAAACTTTTGATCTCTCCTGCCTCAGCCCCCTGAGTGCTGGGTTGGTAGAAGTCTGTCATCACGCCTTTTTCTTTTCTTTTCTTTTAAAATGGCCTAAACATAGTTATTATAAATGCTGTATTTGTAATTAAAAAGAATAGCTATTACCTAGTTATAGAGTACAGATTTTTTTTAAGTTGTTAGAGCCAAATAACTAAATTGATTTCTTCAGGTATTTTGTATATTTACTGAGATTTTTGTTGTTAGCAGAACCTAGTGATCACTCATTTTGATTGTAAAATTAGTTTACTTTCTTATGTAGTTTTTTTAGTTTTTATTTTACATGTTTTCAGTTTAACTTATTAGGTGCCAAGATTAAGAATTGTCTCTGTTCCTATGGAATTGCACTTTAATTATTATGTGGACACAGTATGTAGTAATGCTTTAACATCTATTCCCTCTATTTACTGAAAGTATACTGGCTTTCTTTTTTGTATCTGCCTGATATTTTGGCTTGGAATTTTTTTTTTTTTTTCATCTGATAGCATTCAGATAAAACGAATTCAGGTCTCCATGCAACCTGGTTGCATATAAACTTGAACAGTTCTCAGAGATACCTTGTTTCTCCTTTTCCACCTGAAGCTAAGACCAAGGCCAGTAAACATCCCTACCTTCTTCTGTGATCAGGATTTTGGTTTGTTTGGGTTAACCCTGTTTGTCTTTATCCATTGCAGATTAACTGAATTAAACACTTGGGAAACGTTCATTATATGGCCCAATCAAGGCACCCACTCTTCAAGGATTTGGGGAAACCTCTTGAAAAGAATAAGTAACATTAGATTGTTTAGCAAATTGTAGGATTGTCCATTTAACCAGGCTGGCCACAATCTTTGAACTAAGATCTTAATTACAAAGATTGTCCAGATTAGCATCAGCACTCATTGTGTGATCAAGATTCTGTGGTTTCTGTTTGGCAGCTGTTTAGAAGCACAGGTAATAAGTAGATTTCAGGAGCCTGTGATTATTGCTTGCACAACTGGTAATTACTTGCACAACTCTCCCTCAACCCTTCAGGGGTACAAGATTTATTCTCAGGCCTGGGAATGGGAGCGTTTGTGTCTATAGTCCAGCTTTCTGCCTTGCTTGGCCTCAAGGGGGCACCTGGGACTCAGTAAATCCTTAGATCTCAGAAGGTTAAAAATGAGTAAATACTATATGATTATATTTACATAAATGTGCAGGAAATCCAGTCTGGCATTCCAGAAAGCAAATCAGTTCCTGGAAATGAGGTGTCGGGAAGGATTAGGAAGCAGGAGGGTTGAAAGAGATGTAAAGGAACATTGGGCGGTGGTACTTATGTTCGTTATCTTATTGGTGATGATGGATTAAGATTATATGCTTTAAAGTGTGTACAGTTTCTTAGGTCCTTCATACTGCTGTATAGTGCACTAAAGCTGGTAAAGACAGAAATTCTCTGTTTTCCTTAAATCTTGTGTTCTTGTGGGACAAGGCAAACAGGATAGTTCAGCACCCGTTACTTTAAAGCAATTTAGGGGTAAGGCGTGAAGACTCACAAAACATGGCATCTGAGTGGGAATGGAATATAAGCTCAGTGAGGGCAGGGACTCTTCGGTGTCACCATTGCTCTATCTCCATTGCTAAAGCACTGCCTGCCACTTAATAGGCACAAAACACACATTTGTTAATTGAAAAAAGAATCCAAAAACAAAGCAACAAAATCTCTGGCTCATGGTCATCAGGGACTAGAGGTGCCCTCAGCATGTGCCTCCTTCTCTAATGGAGTTGGGGCCTCCTGACGTCACACGTTACCAAAACACTTTTTATAAATTTTATCCATCATTTTTATGTGGCTAAAAAGAGTTTCCTGGAGTTTGATCAGTTCATAGGTTGATTCAAAGCCCTGCACATTCTCTATCTATTCACTGGGGTCTGTAGTGAGCCGGTCACTGTGCAGCCCTTCTGGTCATGTCCAAAGGAAGCCAATAGGTGTCAGTCTATAGGGACCAAACAATGAACTGGTTACTTATTTAATTACTCTGGTAGTTTTGTTAGTTCAGGAAAATTCCAGAGATGAACCCAGGGAAGAAAAGATAATGGCCTGCTCCATTCAACCAAAACGCATTTCAATCCATGACAAGGATGTCTGCATTCAGTAAAACTCCAATCCGAGTCCATTAACATCTAAAGCCAGTGTGTAACTGTTCTATGGCAGCCTCTGTTACAGAGAAAAACAACTAATCGCTGAGTTAACATAATATAAGAAATGCACCTTCACCCACCTGCCACAGAACAAGGGCAACAAATAGTGAGACGAAGGGACTTTGTTTAGTAGAGATGTGTACAGAGGGACATATCTTCTCCAAAGTCAAGAGGTCCTGATGGTGACTAACCTCTCTCTTTAAAAGTTATTATCATTAGAAGTAATTCTTTTTATGTATTATTTATCCTTATTTTTAAAAAGTACATGTTCTCTAGAATTATGAACAAGCAAAAAAAAAAAGACTGAAAATCACCAGAAACTCATTCCTAACACAGGTCTAGGTTAAAAATATAAACTTCACCTTACATAGAAACTACATTTACTACATTTTTAATCATTTAAATGATTAGAAAAAGAAGAAAGTTTTAACAGACTAACTCAAAAAAGAAAACAATTAGCAGGTCTTGGATAAATTACTTGTTTTTTTTTTTTTGTTTGTTTGTTTTTTGGTAGCCTGCGCTGACCTTGAACTCACAATCTTCATGCCTCCATCTTTCCAGTGCTGGAAGCACAGGCATGTACCACCATGCCCAGCTGAAATTTGTTTTTGTTCTGTCAGGACATGCCAGACTGTAGGTCTAAGGGAAACCTTGTGAAGGCATTTTCCATAGATCAAAATGATCTCTAGTGAGCCTCCTGGTGGCACTTAAGATGTTACGCTGTGCATGTTGTCGGCTTATCCTTAGCAGCAACAAATGATAGTGTCCCATCAGTGATGTTCCACATTATGCCCTGTCTTCTGATTGGTGGTTCACGTGTAAATACTTGTGACATTCAAACATGTTTGTGCACATGTAGAACACATAGTCATGTGGGTGTCGTGCAGAATAGGTGTAAATATTTTCATAGCCTTGTGTATTTTTGTTTTATAATCCAACCAATGAGATAAAAGAGCTCAAGGAGAAGTGTAACTGTTTCTAAATGAAAATTAGCAAACCACTTTGGTACTGTGAATCTGAGTTCTTACATAAAAATACTTCTTAGTGGTTTCTGTGAAGAAGAGATTTTTTTTCTTAATTAAAAGGCTGGAACATTTAAAGTAATTTGAATTTAGTTGTTCTCTTTAAGAGACTGGGAATATTAGATTTAAAGGATGTTTTTTGTTGGAGGAGATTTACATCTAATTTATTAATACACTGATGATAGGGAAATATTTCACACTCAAAATGAGTGATAAGGACTTCTCAACCCCAAATTCTCAGGAAGCTTTTAACTTCTGTTCTAGAGCCATAGTCATATATTAAATGCAGAAACAGAAATGCAAAAACCCACACTAGTCTGTTTGTCAGAGAGCCATTCTTTCCAGGACACCTAAGACAAGTTCTAGTACAAAAACAATCAGGCAAACAAAAGTGAACGACAAGCACATATTCTGTTACTTTTCAACCAAAGAGAGTAGATACCTATAGAACCAACTGAGAATAGATAATCCTCCCAACAAATGCCACCAAATGAACAACCATAAAACCAAACTCCATTTATTGGTGCTACTCACAGGCAATAAGTTACAGCCCACATATGTAGTAGAACCAGACTTGACCTAGTAGCAGAAACAAAAACATAGAATTAGAAATAAAAGCACCTGAAACGTGCATTCACCAAGGGAAGGTGAGGAACCACAGGCACGACTGTAGAGGAGAGGTGATCTAGATGCTCTCCAGATCGTTGGTTATAATAGTATTTGGCTTATCCTGCTACCCTCATCTTGGTTTCTGGAGTTGCCTGTGCATGAACCTGGGCTGGGGCCTCCGCATGTGCTTTGGGAAGCTCCTCAAAATCTCAAGTGAGGCGGGCACAGAGATTGGAACTGAAGCAAGCATCTTGGGAGTGTGGGGAGTACGAAATGATTCTTGTGGTTTGAAGTGACTTAAAGACGGGAAAAGACAAAGTTGCCGCCCAGTGCTCTCATGCTGCTGTTTCTGCGTAAAAGCAAATTCAAAGGAGAAACCCTTACATGCTCAAACAGTGGGAATACTGAGGACAACTCAAAGTGGTGGTCAAAGAGCCTGATGAAGAAGCCCTGATGGAATTACTGACCCATGCCAAAATGCTAGGGCTCACCATGAGTTTAATCCAAGTGCTGAGTGCTAGGCACACTCAGATTGAACCAGGCTCTCAGACCATCCTAGAAATCAGGCCAGGATGAGCAGACAACTCAATAAGTTACCAGCCACCTCACACTTTATTAGACAGACTTTTGTGTGATGCTCCTATTGCAAGTGTTTGAAATCTGTCAAATTCTAATGATAAAAATTGAATTTCTTCCCCCCCAAAATAAAATAAAATAAAATAAAATAAAAAGATCAAATTCTGTTGCTGCTTGGAATTTACTGTAGTAGCCAAAAAATCATGTAGATGGACTTAAACAGCTCATGAAGACATCACGGTTAATTAGTTCCAGAAGGTGAGTCTTTTTGAGCATCTCAGTGGGACTTCCAAAACTATCAAAGTATCTAAGTTAAGAAAAAATAAAGCCATGACTCATAAATTCATGCTAAACATGCAGGTGCCAGGTATTTGTTTAACTCATTAACAAGAGAACCAATGAGATGGTAAGCGTGGTGCAGACAGACGAGTTAACACTGAGTCTGACTTGTTCTCTGCCCTCGTGGAGATTGTAGTCTCTTGGCCTCATGTGGATGCCTTGCTCCAGCCTTCTTTGCCACAGGGAGAGCCTGGCCCCACCCATACCCTTCTCTCACTTGCAGAGGAAAGATTCCAGTATCTGGCAATCCATGCTGAGACTGTCGGAGATTAGGACATGCTTATCTTGTATGCTTTTCAGGAGCATTGGTGGAAGCTAGTCAATAAGTTAGTTTGCAAATTTCCCTTAAATGTATCTTTAAATGCTATTAAAGATAATTCATATGTCTTAATATTATTCTCAAATCCAAATGTTTTTGTTTTAAATATTGTCTTTCACATAGAATAACCTCCTGGGAAAAAGTTTTACTGAAAAGAATTCATTTGACTTTATTCTTCATTTCATTCACCTTTTATTTTAAAATTTAAAAAATTTAAAGAGACACAACAATCACATTTCTCTTGTCACTTAATGAGTATTTCATTTTGGCATCTTTATCTTCATCATTCTTGCATTTTAATAATTTTTAATTTTCTGGATATATATATAATTACTGCTTTGATTAGACATTAGAGAAATATGGGTGTGTTTTCTTTCATGAGTCCCAAATAGTGTCTCCTGTTTTGGAGGAATTTATCACATGCCTTCTCTGTAATGGATCAGTCATTGTCCACTTACTGAAGCATCTCCTGCCATTAGTGTTTCTGTTATACAAGGCATAATTGAATGTACTTTATTGAAGTCCTGTAGCAAAACAAATTTTAATCAGTTACTGGAGTATTTGCAGAAGGCTTGGAGCTACAGACTCGTATTCTGTTTAGCAGCTTGGCTGTCTCTAAAGCTTGGCATGTTTTATTTTTCTCCACGTTCACAAAAATATCTCTGTTCTGTAAAGGTAATCCGATCATAGAATTTTGTTCTACTTTAATTATCTGTGTGAGTCAAATATTGATGTGCTGTATCATTTGGTATGTAAATGGAAAGCATGTGTGGAAAAATAATTATTCATCATAAAGATTTCACTGTCTAAAAACATTAAAATGTGGCCATCCATGAGTTATAGACAAATGCCTTTTCAGTTACAACACTTTGGTATTTCAATTCAAGTATTTTTTAAAGGATGAAATCTATAACTTTTATAATTGAAGAAAATTTAGGTGTAGAATATGTTAGTTTTTAATTTCAATTATTTTGTTAATAACAAAGAAGATTAAATTTCCCAATGTAAAGAAAATTTATACAACTGGCTTTCTTACTAGAGAAAGGAGTGCATCTTCTAACTAGGGCAGAGTCTTCAAAGCTATGCTTTCCAATTCCTGTTCTCTACATTGCTGTTTACATTCTGGAGTCACTCATACAATAGCATAGTCACAAAAGAACAAATTGCATTTCTTTAACAATCCTTGAATTATGACTGAAGTTGACTGTTGTCAAAGTACGTCCATATTATCTTTTTATCCTTTTTTTTTTCCATTGAAGAGAGTTTTGTCTGAAAGCAATTAATTGTTCTCTCAAATTTTGCATCTTCAGAGGCGAGGAATGGCTCCACCTCCAATGAAACTGCCTCCTCCTTACAAATCTCCATCATCTTCAGACAGTGATGAAAGCGAAGGAGAATGTTCACCAGCCGAGAGTGAGTTCCTTAGCATTACCGAGAGTAGGTGCAGAATTTATTAAATTATGCTATATGACTTGTAAATGATCAAATAGACGGCTGTAGGCTCTTCCAAAATGTGCATAAACATAGGCTAAAATAGAAGATGTTATTGTTAAAACTCCTGTGGCTTTATTTCTTCCTTTGTGTTTTTCTTTGACATTGACAAAGGGATATTGAAGGAAGCTGTGTTGTTCAATGTTGTACCGGTAGTCCTTCCTATTTTCACTATTTGGTTGTGAATACAAAAAATGCTGAGAAGTCCTTGGAATTGGAGTTTGACCTATAGGAATCTGAGTGGGTCATAGATGTCAGCTCTCAATTACTTACCTTAAAAAGTAATGGTGATATTGCTAATTTGAAATTACAGGAAATCCAAGTCATATTTAATCCTTTGGAATTCATTTAATGATTTTCCTTTGCACTAGCTGATCAGATATACATGCAAATGTATACTAAATGGAGGCTTTATTTTTTAAAATGTGCATTTCTTTTATGCATATATAGTACATATAGTTGGACCTGACTGCTAATGTTTATGGAATTTCTTTTGGGAATGATGAAAATGTTCTAAAAGTAGATGGTGATGATGGTTGTACAATTTGTAAATATACTGAAAACTACTAACATATACATTATAAATGGGTTAATTCTATGGTATATAAAATGTTTCTTAATTTTTTTTCCTTCAACAGTATAGAAAAGGATTTCAATATAGAAACTGAAAAAGTTAAATTTCTGGCTCCAGCACTTTCAGAGCGTGACTTTAAGTATGGCCTCTTCTCTAAAAAAGGGAGGGTTGTAGTGAGGATTGAAATAAAACAATGAGGCCTTCAGAGTACCACATAGTGAGTCTTCTACAGGTACTATAGCTATTACAGTTATTAATAATTATTAAATTAAGTATATTTTTCTAAATATAATAAATATATAAATAAAAATATTAAAGTAAATATAACTACAATAATCAAGTTAAGTTCATACAAATTTGATTTGTACTTTACAGAGTCCTTGACATACACATTATTTTCACAGTTTCTGAGAGGTTTTTTAATTTTTTGGTAGTGGTAGGGGTGAAGTCCAGGGACTTGCACATGGGAGGCAAGCACTCAACCACTGAGCTGCATTCCCCATCCATTATTTTCATCATTTATTGGACAAATCTTGATTGAATAACACCTGCCTTTTAGAAACAGTTTTGAGTGAGTCTGTATGAAATGAATTAAACATGACTCCTTTTTTCTTGGTGGGGTCGCCAGCCTTGCAGGGAGAGCATAGAGGCATAGGGACAACATTTGATGTTGACTGCGGCACTGTGGTTCTCAACCTGTCTTTGGAGAGCTATGTGTGGTGGATCCCGCTGCCATGCCTGAGCACACTGTCATACACCCTGTGTTCTGGTCTAGACTCTAGAGTGCCTGTGCAGAATATCAATAGGTAGTGACTATTCATCATTTCTCAGATGCTGGAAAGCTAGATTTTGCTTCACTACTAAGAACTCTGATTTAGGTGTGCAATTAAGACTATTCAAATCCTTGTTCCTGACTTAATTGTGTGTTCGTATACCTCTGCATGGCTCACATTTGCTTATCAATAAAGAGACAAGGAGATTCTTACAATAACTTGCCTAATAGGGCTGTTGTGATAATTAGAGATGATAAAGCATTTGAACAGCTTAATATACGAATTGTGATACCAGTTGGGCATTGGTAGCTCATGCCTATAATCATAGCTTGAAGGGCTGAGATCAGGAGACCTCATCTCCAAAATAACCGAGCAAAATGGACTAAAAGTATGGCTTAAGTGATAGAGCACCTGCTTTGAAAGTGTGTAGCTTTGAGTTAAAAACCCAGTTCTACCTCCCTGCCCCACCCCTGGAAAAAAAGTTTGATACCTGGTAAGTACTCTGGTTTCCATGTGCCAGTCATTATTCTAAGTTCTTTACATGTACTATTACAGCAGTCAACTTAATAACTTTGTAAGAACTGCCCTTATTCAAAGAAACTGAGATTTGGGGAAATGAAGAAATGTGTCCAAAGTCATACAGCTAATAAGTTACAGGCGTTGGGTTTAAACCAGGCACTATGACTCCAGAGCCTGTACCATCGTCTGCATTTGCTGTTTCTTAAAACACATTACTGTAGCAGAAAAAGAAACAAAGCGGCAAGGGTACCCTTATGATTCTCATTTCTATGCCATAAGATAGGCAGCCCAGCAGCATACTCCCCAAGGCTGCAAGCTCACGTGCATGTCACGTGTACAGATATACACATGGCATCGGTGGGGTTCAGGAAGGATACCAGTGTACACTAAACGTGGAAGAAGACTCCCAATATGTTCAAAGTATGAAATCTTACATTTCACAGATTATCTAGCAAGCTTATTTGGGCTGTATAGTGACTCTATTTATTTTGGTCTCTATTTTTTTCCTTCTCAATGTGAGTTCCCTTCCTATCCTATCTCATTGATTTTACTCTTAACCTCTCCAAGAGTTGCAAATGTATTGGAGAATTTATTAAATAGTTCTCATTCAAAATGTGGGCAAGCCTAAAAGCCTGTGGCCTTCCTGTATTTCCTTTGGAGTGGTTCTTTGTTTTTCTTTATTTCTTAACTCGTATTAATACTCTGCTCCAATCTGTCCCAAACTAAAGATAGATCAAGTCACTGTTTTATTCTTACATCTTTTCCATTTACATATTTTATGAAATATTACATACATTTCCCAGAGTCTGTGACTCTGGAGTGTACAGCAGGAGTTCAACTCCTTGGTCCACAACGAAGTAATGACTTAGAGATCACAGACACAAGATGTGCATGGATGAGACAACATTAAGTAGTCTGGTTAAGAAAGTGCAAATAAGATCTAAGTGACAAGGAGCCAGACATGCAAATATCTGGATCACATGGTCATCACAAAGATTAAGGTTTTGTGAGACTTTGAGCACAGTAACATGTCTTAAGTGTATTAGTTAGATTCCCATTGTTGTGACAAAACACCCAAGAAAATCAACTTAAAGAAAAAAAGGTTTATTTTGGCTAATGGTTTCAAAGGTTTCAGTCACTTTGGGCCTGTGCTAGCCCAGTGATGGCAGGAGCATGTGGTAGTGGAGTGCTTACTTCATGGTGGCAGCAAATAAAAGAGAGAGAGAAGGAGGAGCCTGGGTCCCAATGTCCCCTTTGAGGGCATGCCCCAGTGTCCTGACTTCCTTCCTCGAGGCCCCACCTCCCAATAGCACCATGGGCTGGTGACCAAGAATTTAGCACATGAACCTTTGGGGAACATGTCCAAACCATCACAATAGTTGATGTAGATGGGCAGATGCAGCGGAATATGCATATGTAATTGAGGCAAAAGTCTTGTGAACATTAATTACCTGTATATGTGATGAACTTTATTCTTTTTCTATTTCATTTTTTAAATGCTGGTTATAATTCAATTTATTTCATGACCAACAAATGAGTTTCAACCTGTGTTATGAAAGGCACTAAGATAGATCAGTGGTTTTTAAACTAGAAGGCATCAAAACACTTGTCAAGCTTGTTAAAACATTAGGCTGAGGCAGGAGGATTCTGAATTTGAGGCATGGGTTATATGGCGATACTTTCTCCCTCAACAAAACAAAATTAAACTAACAAAAAGGTGGGAACTCAGCACTGCCTCATGAAACCAGCAAAAGAGCATTCTAGCATAAGAGCTCTTCTAGGAGATTATGAGATGATGTAGGTTAGGAAAAGAAAGTATATCAGGAAGGCTTCTGTCGTGGAACTTCGGTAGTCAACTAAGGCATGCGGGCAAGAGATGCCACCCACCGTTGAGTTTAGCACCAAAGAATTGAGAAGGAAGAAGAGAAAGAGGATGCTTGATAAAACAACCATGGTAATTATTGTTCAAGTTGATGTGAGATTAAATGTTATGACCAATGTGCATAGTTCGGCACACAATAGGCATTTATGTTTCAGATCCCTTATCTTGCATTGTTGAGCACATTCCATGCTATACTGCTGACTAATTCTAAGAAGGCTTATAATCATTGGTTGAAACAAAGTTACTTGAATTTTGATTAAGAATTATGAAACAATAAAGAGTTAAGAAGCAAGATACTACATCAGTGTTTAGCTGTTAACAAAACCACCATTATCAAAGACTGAAGGATTTGTCAGTGGTACGGATTGATGGTACACAATTTATTTTGGGGAAATAGCCATCAATACCAAAATTTTAAAACCACATTGCCTTGTGAAAGAGAAGAGGTCACTATCCTATGGTGACTTTAAAGTCTCTGTTTCTAGCCTTAACTGCTCTCTGGTCTCCTATCCCAGTTTTCAGTTGCTGTTGGAACAATGCCATGTGGTTTTTCCACTAGCCCTATAAATCCTTGTGTGTCTTCCCCTAAGGCTACCTTTTGCTCCCGCATCCTCCCCAACCTTTTTTTATTTGGTGGTGGTGGTGGTACCAGGGATTAAACCCAGGGCTTTGAACATTCTAGGCAAGTGCTCTACCACTGAGCTACATCTCAGCCCACTTTTTACTTCCTATTCTCAGTTTTAAATAAAGCCATTTCCAGGTCTCCTATCTCTTGTCTCCCAGTGAAACTTCTCTTCTGTTTAATTTTTCTCTTCCTGACAATGAAGGTAGGTGAATTATCATCCCCATTCTCTTACATTTGTAGCTTCTTTCACATTTTTATTGACACAATTTTAGTAAAGCACAGGAAACGTCATAGTTGTATGGACGGTAGGACATCCATTCTCCCTGCCTTTCAGTGCATTCCCATGTGGTATTCAGAGGAATCTTTCAGGGAGATATTCAACCTACAGATTTCAGCTCAATGTCACCTTCTTTGGAAAGCATTCCCAACTCCTTAATTCAATACAGGTTCTTACATTTTTCTTTTATACCGCTTAACAAAAAGTAGCTTTTAGTATAATTGTTAGATTAGTATCTGTCTTCCCCACTTAAAGCCTTTCAGTTCCATGAA